CAAGTGCATAACTTCTGCTGGAAATCATAAGCTCTCGAATCAAAACAGCATTCTTTTGTTCGAATTAATTATAGTTTTCAGTTCAACTATTTCATTCTAACGAGGGTCTATTGAGATTTAAATATTAAGTGCTGGTAATATGTCATTTGTAAAAGTACAGACTTTTAAAAGAATATAGTTCTTTTGCTTTGAATTTATAAGTGTAAATATTACTGTGATTTTAAAAGTCTCTTTGAAGAAATGTTACATTTGCAAAAGGGTTTTGTTTGCTGGAATAAATGATTATTTCGATTAAAATGTATAATTTAAATGTTTAATGAAATCAGAATGATATAAACATGAACTTGATTTCTCATTGTAATTTATTTCTGACTCTGGATAAATTATTTTGAACTTTTAAAGATAATTTTGAGTGTTCTTATAAGTTATATTTAGCGTTAAACGAAAACATACAAGGTTTGTTTTCTGCGTGTATTGAGTAGTGTGTTGTTACTTAAATGAAAATATTAATCACTCTTTTCCTTATAACATTGGAAGAAAATTTACTTCTGCAGTTCCAAAGATATTGTCGAAAAAGCAAAAATTTGTCTTTAGAGAATATTAATAACACAAGACTTGCAATTTAAATAGTGTGGTGACTTTCCTGAATATGAGAATCAAAAATTTTAAAGTTTCTGTTCAGAAAGTAGCATTTTGAAACCACACACTTATAATGCTTCTTCACCTAAAGGCAATTTATCTTATTCATTTTTTTTTAAATGTGTAATGAATATTTCAAAAATTGGAAATCTGAACAGGGTTATAAATTTACTTTAACTATCAGTAGATAATTATTGAGTGGCACACAGACACGCGAAAAGCTTTAAATTTCCCTATGTTTTGAGTGCTGGGCTCTTCACGATTCTTTACTGATTTATCTCAAACTGTAAAACAGAACTCCATATTGTGCATTTAATTCGATCTAACAGAGTACAAAACTGAAAAGAAAGAAATAGTCCCAAAAAAGTCAAATAGCGTGAAAAACGAGAAAAATAAATAAATGAATGAAACAAACGCACGGCATCAGTGCTCTGAAACTACCGTGCTGCCCTCGGAAGTATTTCCCTGAGTACTTGTACTCACAGACTCATCTCTTTTCAGCTCCCTTTTGATCAACCAGTAAAATAATACACTCAAAATGAATGAAAATATCTTTAAATACATCTTGATGTCACAAGTAAAAACTGCTCCACCCTCACGAACTAACAGCTGCACTACTCCACCTTGATCTTGTTAACGTCAATATAGCTTTAAGTACTTAGTTCTCACAGACATTTTAATTACTATGCAGCTTCCTTTTTGATTCTAAACTCAACTCACAGTTTATCAGTTTTAAAATAAAATTAAAAAAATTTTTCATATTCACTCTCATTTCTAGTTAATTGAAGTTTATAATTATTCATTAAAATTATTTACATTCATGTAAGTTAAAATTTACATTTCAAAGGAAATTTTAATATTGTTTGGGGCCTTCCATAAATGATGTTACAATTTTTTTTAAAATATTTTTACTTTCCTTTTTCCCCTTTGTGACAAAGTGCCACACTTACAGTCTATTCCTTCGTCACACGTTACGTTGTATTGCATAAACATATGCCGGCGGATCGGAAACAAAACAAGTTATAGGTCATATTTCAAATTTTATTTTAACTTTTAATAACATGTTTTATTGGCATTTGTTAGCATAACAACAATAATGGATGGATGCCACTTATTCTGATGAGAGATATAAAAACTAAATGTATAAAAGTGTTTAAGTTGTTCACTAATAAAAGCTTTAAAACTTTTTGTGATGTCACACTATTTGGCAGCCCTTTCTTCCCTTTTATCGCAAATTGTGCTTCTCCCTCCTCTTTAAGTGGGAAATCGTTTATTGAAGGCGTCTTTAAGGTATATGACAAGATGAAAATCGGCAATTTTGATTTTTTTTTATTAACCATATTCAAACTTTAGTTTATTAGCTTTCCAAAACACTTTGAAAATTTTTATCTCCAATTTTTAGAAATAAAATTACAGTTTTTTTTTTCTCGTATGCTGACAGAGGAATACGAAACCGGAAGTAAACTCAGGAATGCGATGTTAAAATGTTATTTGCTTTGTTTTGAGTATTTGAAGCCTTATTTATTTGAATAAATTAAGTTTTTGAGATCACTAAAACTTATTTTCGAACATTAATTTTCGAATTATGATTTTTTTTTCTTTCTTTTTTTTTTTGGTGACAGAAATTTCGTACACTTCAGAATTCTTAAGAACGTTGATTTTGAGAACATTTCTTTATGCTAACACACATTACAAACAAATAACATGTATATATGCATAATAAAAATTCCTTGAAATTTTGAATGTAGATTTTGTATAATGCTAGAGAGCCATTGAACAAAAAACTAAATTCTCAGTTTAAATTTGTTATTTTTATCAAGCTTTAAATAAGAATCTTTAGATTTTTTTCTTCAAAAATTCAAAATTAAACGAAGTATCTTGTTCCATTTTTTTTTTAAAGATTTCGGTTCAAACCGTAAGTAATGACATTATTGATACTGAAAAAAAAGCTGCATTGAAATTTATTCATATCAGCTAGTTGTAGAGTTGTTAACGTGACATAAAAAATTTTTAGTTTGTAAGTTTTAATTTTTTCCTTATTTTGAAAAATATTTCATACCTTTTTAAACTTTACTTTAAATTTATAATTTTCTGGGTCCTTGCTTACTAATCCTAAATTTAAAGATTAATTGGACCTTTTTTCAAAGAAATGCTTCAAAACAAGCCGGATACCTTAAAAAAAAACTAATTCTAATATAAAATTAATTATTTCAGAAACACAAAAGTATTCCGAATATGCCATTTAAACGTTTTTATTTATTTATTTTTTAATTGATATAAATGCTGTTCGCTTATTTACTTACACAGAAAATCCTATAAATGTCTCATTCCTTTTCTTTTTCAACAAATTCGAATAACAAATACACGGAGTAAAACTTGCTCATTTATTAAACTCCTCCTCAAGATTAATTTGCGACGTTAACAACTTCACGAAATACTTTATGTTCTCGTTATTTAATTAAACAGAGAATGCAGATAGGGTAGTTAAATTGGAGCCCTATTGGATCAGCCGATCGAAGCAAGTTAAACCAAACATTTACACTGACCCGAACATCAGATTTAAACAAACCGAATGCATTGACAACAGAGCAAAGATTGCAGAAATCAAAGGTCAATCTTGGGGAATGAAGACTTAGTTCTGGCATCAGGAAGACAAATTGGTATTTCGATTGTATGACAGAGCGCTAACCTTGCTAACCCGACATGTCAATAGGACTTGTCATCTTCCAGATTTAACTGAAAATACCAAATAAGATATTTGACGGTTTATTGAAGTAATATGTCATGGAACATGCACTATCTGAATGAGCTTACAGTGAAGAAGATAGCTGATAGCTCGAAAATATTGCTGCATTGGAGGACAGTAAATATTTAGTAATTAATTTATTTAAAAAAAAATGTTCAGAATAGAGAGTAAATATAATTGTTTAGACATTTTCAATCATAAGTTACTAATATTATGGGTTTTTTTGAAAATATTGTACACTCTTAGAAATTTCTCGAAATTTTTTTTTAAATAATAATTTATTAAATTAATATTTTATCATATTCAAACAAATCAATTTAACCACATTCAAACAAATTTTCAATCATAAGTTGCTAACATTATGAGTTTTTTTGAAAATAATGTATACTCTTAGAAATTTCTCGAAAAAATTTTTAAATAGCAATGTATTTAATTAATGTTTTACCATATTCAAACAAAACTGTCAAATAACAATAAATACGATGGCATTCAAACTATTAACTGTAAGAAAAACCGTTTATTAATTGCGCTCACCTAATACGGTTAAACAACCAGAATTTTATCACACCAACTAATCCCACCCAATAAAGCAACTTAGTTTCTTGCAGCTGAGTACGTACTATAATTTGTCCACCTCACGACCGACAGAACAGGGACTCGAGTCCCAGCTGTGACATCACAATAGTTCCTCCATTCCTTTCAACTCATGAAGAATTTCCCGAGTCCCACACTCCCAAATTCATGTCCTGCACTTTTAAATTCCAATTACCTAATGAAAAATCTATCTCCCAAGTCCAATTAAGTTTCTTTTTTTTTACTGTTTTGAAACCATGCTAGTTACAAATGGTTGAAAACCGTATAATTTCGTATTTATAGTCTTATCGTCATACTGTTTGTAAACGTTTTCAGAACTGTAATGGTAAAATATGCTCTTTACAGTAAACTTTACTGTTAATTGGATGAAAAGACTACTGATTTCACCATCATTTTAGAATGAAAATTCTAACAGTCTACGAGTAGTGATGTATTAAAATTCAAAGCTAAAAACATAGAAGAAAGGTTGTTGAAATGAGATAACCTTTTTTAAATAAGGATTAGAACATAATTATTGTGTGAAAATGCGTATTAATTTTTTCTATGTAAATAAAATTTATCTTTTTCCGAAGAAAATTTGGTAATAATTTTATTTTCTGCTATCCTTCTGCAAATTACCTTCTTGTAACAATGGCTCCCAGGACCCCGATGCACTGTTCAAATCTTTAATTCCTTTATTTTGTTTCATTTCTTTTTTTTTTTAGTATGATATCGTGAGGTTTTATTACATAGATAACATAAAACCGTAGTCTGGCATAGCTAGTTTTAGATCTTATACAATACATAATCACACCATACATAGGTTATGTATCCCGTTACGTATCTTATGTTAGGAAATCAAGCAATGTGTATCGGAATATGAAACATCAGTGAAGCTTAATATTTGCCCTATTGAAAGGAAAAGAAATTCATTTAAAAAGGATAGCTTTCGATGCATTGAATTTTTAAAACTACTTGAAATTTTAGTGAAATACAATGACTAAATTGTTTAATTACTGTAACTGCTCGATTTGGAACTTACCGTGTGAATTGGAGTGCTTGCTGTTTGCTTTCCATGATGGAGCCTCAACTCCAGAATCTTCGCCAACCATGATGGCTAAGGACAGAGGTAATTCATCCGGTACAGGTACCATAGTGGAAATGATCAATTCTGGTGTAGTTAGAGAAGATGGCGGTACTTCTGTTGAAACTTTATTATAACTCGAAGATACTTTATCGTTAGTGACACCAGATCCATTCCTTTGCCTCATTCCTTCACCCACATTATAAGAATTGTAACGATTTGGAATTTGTCTAGCTCTAAGATTGTCATACATATATGATGCATTAGGTTTCATGGACTGTTTCTGGTTGGTTTGTGCATTATGTTGGAAAAAACCAGTGGCTTGTTTCCGAGGTTCAGGTGAATGTTGTCCATAACTTGGCGGAAGATGACCTAAAAATGTAGCCGACCCATTTTTAAATTTTGGGTAATTATTTGTGTGCTTTACAGTTGTTCCCTGTGCCGGAGGATAATTTGTATTTCGATGACCCTGGAATGTAGATCTCGAATACGGAACTCTATTATTTACCGGTGTATTTCTCGAAGAGGATGGTCTTTCCCGTTTCGGCAAAACTGAGTACTCATTCTCTGCAGCCTGAGCAGTATGATAGCGCCATCTATTAGGATCGATTGCAACTGGGTCTCGACCATCCGTCATTCCAAGATTGATCGCCGTACCTCGAGAGCTGGCATCACCATCAGTCACTCCTCTATGATGGTAATTATTAGGGAGATTGTGGACATTCCTCCAATTATAATGAGCTCTGATTGCTTCCGATGGACTATCAGATTCCTTTTTAATCATAAACGGAGTGGTGGCTGTCGAGCCAATAATACGGAAAGTCCGGAACACTTGAGTAACTCTTGACTGCCCCCGCATTGTTCCTGTTCCGTTATTGTGATTTGGAGCTGGCGTGTATCTACGTGTTGAAAGAGGTGTGGATTCTGAATTCATAGAGCGAGAGGCGTGAAAAGCTTGGGCTTCGGCATCATGTTCTTTGGTGAGATGAGTGGGTGGTGCAGTTGAACTGTTGCTAGGTTGTGATGGAAGTGATGCGTCAACTTCTCTTTTCTTTCTTCCAAAGGATTCCATATTATTGGCGCAGCGAACCTGGAAATGAACAATTATTACAGATTAAGGTCTTTCGGAAATGTGTGTTTCTGGTAAATAGGATAATTAGAGTTAAATAATACCGGTTTGCATTGATCCTGGCAGAAGCGAATTTGAACTTCGAAATTGACGAGACCTGTGGAAGGGAAGCGGAAAGCCTTGAAATTGGCGAAAAGTGTCTTGCGGTCCCGGGCGTCTAAATTGAGTCCAGGAAAAATGCTGGGGTCTGTAGGGCACCTATAAGGGATAAATAAAAATTTGTTTTTATTTTTATGAAAAATGCGCACATATTTTTATTAATTCTATTTGCATATGATAAAATTGTACTATTCATAAATTGCATCTTTCTATATAAAAAAAATCGCAAAGGCCGCCGAAGCTATTTTGATATTCATCTTAAGATTACATTTTGTTATGCTGCGCATAAACTATAAGACTTTGAAACTTTAAATTACCAAGGCATATCTACGATGAAATAAAATAAAAAAGAAACAATCCATTTTATCGACAATTAGCTCAAGAATTATCATAGGAAAAAATACCATCCGTGCCGCTCTACAGAACACCGCTCTACAGAATGCAACTGCAAAGATGAAATTTAACATGCTGAATAAAAGTTTTTTTATAAGCCTGGCACAAGAACATTTTTTTGTAAATTCCCGCTTGTTAGAAAGTTATTGCAATTTAACCCCGGGTTTTTCCTTTTCAAATTTCATTTTTTTTTTTTTTTTGCTTTAAGTTACATTTTATTTTACAACGCAAAAACAATAAGACTTACAAACTTGAACAATTCTACAAGACTACTTGAAAATTCTACAAGAAGTTCAATGATTTAAAAAAATTTACGATTCGCTAATATATTCGAGAATGAACAACTATTAAACTAATAGCCAATAAAAAATTATGATAGGCTATCTACTGGACGTTGAACCACTTTGAATTATAAACGCAATTAGAGTGAGAATTTTTCAAAATCCTAGTTTGTTCAAAAATTATAGTAATTTTAATTATTATTTAAGCAATTTCTTTAAATAAAAGAGAGAGATAAAAGAGAAAATAAAAGAGAAAATAAAAGAGAGATTATATGTTTCCTGTTATGAATCTTAATATCGTAAAGTGTAAAAACTAAAGAGAGATGAAAACTATTTCTAATATGAACTGTTATATTACGTAAGGTGATCGTTATATAGTGTTAAGGGAGTAAAATTAGTTCTCATTTTTTATTCAAATACGGTTGATTGAGCCGTGTTGACTCATAGGATAGAGCACTCGCCTTCTAATCAGGTGAACCAGATTCGAATCCCGGTCGCACCCGGTTTTCACAGTAAAACATCTTAAGCGGAAAACGGAATGTAGGCTAGAGTCCTCTTGCCATCAGGCTTACTGTGGAAGGTTTTCGCGGTTTTCCTGTCCATGTAACGCAAATACGGGTTACTTCCATCGAAAAGTCCTCCACGAAGGCAAATTTCTCCGAAAACTTGATTCACAAGTTCCCTTGTTTTCTGGATTGGGTTCAAAATTTCTCGGTTACGGAGTTGGACATTGATAGTCGTTAACCCAAAAATTGGGTCTGCTGTTCAACGACGGTTATAAAATAAAGTTAAATACTTTTGATTATCGTCATAAAATTAAATATCCTTTCGTTTCGTTATGATTAACATACATTAATAAAATGAGCTTACTTACACAAGAAAATAATTATAAATTTTACAAATATTATTATCCTTTTTATGGACTTTTAATAAAGGAAAGTATTTAATTCGTGGAGGACTATTTGATAAAACTAACCTGCATTACGCTACATAGAGGGGGAAACCGGCCACAGTTAACCCAAGTTAAAATAATTCTAACCCATGATCTCTCTACAACTAAGGATATTTTACATCAACACTGTATTTGACGGAAGCCAGGATTCGAAATTTGGTCCACTTATCGGAAAGCGACCGCTCTATCCCCTGAGCCACCACGTCCATATTGTTTTTTTAAATCAGATTTTGATTATAATAACTTTGTTTTTCTTAGCATGAGCTCCAAATATTGTTTGTATTAAACGCAGTAAAACCGCTACCTGTTCTTGTGCTGCATATATTTATCTTTAGTGTATTTAATTGGGCTCTTTCTTGCCATCTATGTTTTTGTTTGTTATTTTATTTTATTCTCAACCAATTAATTATTCCAATGCTCTTGTACGTGTGTAAATCTTTAATTATTTTTTCTCTTCTAAATTCAACAACTATGAAGAACCCATTCGCAGTATATTACTTTCTAATAAAAAAAAAATTTTATATGTATAAACGACTAATAATAAAATGAAAATCAGCTAAGAACAATGCAGGCTTAAAAGATTTCAGTTTGTTATCGAAAATGTAAGCCTTAAGCACGATTATTATTTCAAACATAAAAATCACAATGCAACTTTAAAGACAATTTCCGATATTTTACTCAGCGTAATATCATCATGATATCAAAAAATTGTTACAAACCTTAGAGATAAAACTTTTATTTAAATTCCCCAATACCGAACCGCTGACGTTCCGCCATAAATCTTATAAACTATCAAGTAGATCAATAACTGGAAACGTTTAACCCTAGGGGATAGTATGCCTCTCTTAACTTCACTGTTTGTATATTGGTTCTTTGATAGCATGTTTATGCGATAAATCTCTGAAGAATTTTTCGAGAAAGCTAAATTTAAACTAAATTAATCATTTCAATGAAATGTTTTATTGGGATATATGATAAAAAGAAGCTTAATTTTGAAAAGATTTCTTGATGTTTCTTTCTTTTGGAACATGTGTTTAGTGATGTCATTTTAAAAGAAGTAAAAAAATGAAGAAAATATTACTAAATTTGTTATGTAACGATAAACGGTTATAAAGTTTACTGTGCATTGAATCTATAATATTAAAAAAATTTGCTTCAAATTGTAAATACTGATACACAGTTAGAAATTTTGATGTGTGGTGAATTATATTTTTTTTCTCAAATTTGTATAATATGGTAAATAAATGCACAGATGCACCGTTAAAAAAATTGGAGTACGTCCAACTAAATAATCACTCAAATTAGCGTAATATAGGGCTAATTTTCATCTTATCGTACCTTTTAAACTTGATCGTGCGATACATAATTAACCTAAATAATTCATCCAGTTTAAAGGATTATTAATTTAAGAGCGTGTAAAAGCAGATGATATGTAGAAAAGACACATTCCCTTAAAACATCCTTCGGGAGCACTCATCAATAGTAATCCAATTTCATCAATACGTTCAATAGAGCTGTGATGGCTCAGGGGATAGAGCGTTCACCTTCCAATGAGGTGAACCGGGTTCGAATCCCGGTGATGGCTGATAGATACGGATCCCGCATCCGGCTTGAAAAGACCACAGTGCTGGCGTAAAACATCCTCAGTGGTAGACGGATCATCGGTTGGAGTCTCCTTGTCGTTAGGCTAACCGCGGGANCTGGGGGTACTGATCCAGGAGTTTCCTTGTCTTCCGGATTGGCTCAAAATTACAAGGCTACGGAGTTGAGCATTAGTAGTCGTAAATCCAAAATTAGGTCGGCTGTTCAATAACAGTTGTAATACGTTCAATTGAGCAGTGATGCTCAGGGGATAGAGCGTTCTCCTTCCAATGAGGTGAACCGGGTTCGAATCCCGGCGATGGCTGATAGATACGGATCCCGCATCCGGCTTGAAAAGACCACAGTGCTGGCGTTAAACATCCTCAGTGGTAGACGGATCATCTGTTGGAGTCTCCTTGCCGTGAGACTAACCGTGGGGGGGTTTCGTGGTTTTCCTCTCCATGTAAAGCAAATGCGAGTTAGTTCCAAGCAAAAGTCCGACACGAAAGCAAATTTCTCCCAATATTTGATCCAGGATTTCTCTTGTCTTCTGGATTAGGTTAAAAATTACAAGGCCATGGAGTTAAAAATTAGTAGTTGTAAACACAATATTTGGTCGGCTGTTCAATGACTGTTATAAAATTATAAAATACGTTCAATAGCATGTTTCTGTCAATGGTCGCCAAAGTAGTCGTAATGTGTTCTTGCAGTATTTTTATATCGAGAGTACATGAACTGGAAAGACGAAATCTATGCATCCCAAACTATGCAGGGAAAAGTTAATGTACGCCACAGGCCCACATTACTTCAGGAACACATAGCGTAATAGATATGTAATAAAATATATAATAAGATATATCACAAAATAATGCCGGCTCTACTCAGTTAACAAAAAACTTAATTTGCTTCAAAAATATACAGATTGAAAATAACAGTCGACATGTTTCAAGGGCTCTAAAATAAACAACCATTTTCAAGACTTCCCGACATGAATAAGATAAACATAAGTGATTTGAAATAAGCGTCAACTTGCCAATGAAAAATGGAAAGTATAGATGAGAAACAAAACTATAAAAACATTTGTTGTTTCTCATCTTTATTGTAAATTTCTGTTAAAACTTTGTATACATTTGACTTAGCATTTATTAAACTTTGCGTAATTCAAATCACTTCTGTTTCTTTGCATTCGGGTCTGGCAGGTCTTGAAAATAGGTGCCTATTTTTCAGCGCTTGAAACATGTAGACTGTTATTTCCAACCTGTATATTTTATAAACAAATGGAGTTTTTTTTTTAGTAAAGTAATATTTTGCCGCTTCAGTTTCTTTGGATTTGTTTATTTGGAGCTTTATTGTTATATTTTTTATATTCTATAAGCTATCTAAGTAAAATTTTTATAGAGTTACTTACTATTTGGCTTTAATTGAGCAAAAATCATAAATTTAGCTTACCCAGTACTGTCTATGAGGAACAGGGACTCCCCATTTTTGCTCCTGGCATACAGGTTGCGTGCAAAAATGGCTAAATTGCCTAAAAGGAAAATAAAAGTTCCTAAGACATCTTCGTATTTTTAAAGTTAATATGATAAGTTTCATATTATATTCGGAAATATTTATATTTTCATTTTCAGTTTAATGACTCATAACATAGAAACAAAACAAGTATTTAAAATTGAAATCTTCAAAGGCAGGAAAAAAGAATCAAAAATTGAACCTTGATTTTTTTCTAATAAAAAAAATATTAGTTGGTTTATAGTTATGATGTTATGTTTAGAAAATTAATGACGTATTTAGAAAATTTAAAATATAATAAGTAAATGTTTTATATTGTATCATGAATATGTCATAAACTTTTGGCTCTTTTTTAGAAACTAATTTAAATGAAAAAAAATTGAAAGCATATTTCTCTTTGAGATATCATTGAACCAGATTAATATGTATCTTTACTAAGTAAATTTAATAAATACTGCAAATATTTTTTTCTTTTAACTTTGAAAAAAGATGTGGTTATTTTTAAATTCATGTAAATTTTTTAAGGAAAATCTTTACTACAAAAATGTGGCTATATTAAGAAAATAACACAAATTATTACAAAAAATATAACTATGTTTTAGATATTCAATCGCATAGTTGAAACGAAAGTGGAATCCTATAAAACAAGTTTGAAATTCCATAGATAAATTTACGGAACAAATTTATTGAAATCGAAACTAAGAACTGTGCTTAATCGATTCAAATTCATGAATTTTAATGAGAAATCGAAAAACTATGTTGAATAAATTAAAATTCATATTCACGAATTTTAATGAGAAGTCGAAAAACTATGTTGAGTCAATTAAAATTCATATTTATGAATTTTAATGAAAAGTCGAAAAACGATGTTGAGTCAATTAAAATTCATGAATCTTAATGAGAAGTCGAAAAACTATGTTGAGTCAATTAAAGTTCATGAATCTTAATGAGAAGTTGAAAAACTATGTTGAGTTAATTAAAATTCATCAATCTCAGTGCGAAATCGAAACTAAAACTAAGTTCAGTCTATTTAAATTTACAAATTTCAGTGGGTGATCTAAAACAATATTGAATTGATTCCAATTCATGAATTACAGTCTCATTAAATGAAAATTTTCTTTGTTGTATCTATAAAGGTGCATTGAACATTTTCTACTGAAGAAATTGAATAAATTAAAACATTGATAAGAGAATATTTAACAAAACTGGGTAAAGTACACAACGCTAAGAAACTAAAAATTTTGATGATATTGTGTTTGAACAATTAAATAATATCAATGCCCTATTATTTTACTTCTAAATCGTAACTAATTTTTAAAAAATTTGTATTTAAGCTTTACTTAAAATACTATCAATGTTACGGCACGAGTTTTGTAGAACTCTGTAATTTGTTTACCATTTATGATATATAACGATTCCGTTCACGATATAACATTACGATTCTGGTTACACTATAAACATACCTGAAAGTGACAGTTTAGGTATATTTAGGTATACTGAACCCTTGTTGATCAATAAAAGTCAAATCTATATTCAAATAATTAAAATAAATAAATTTTAAACAATATGTCTTTCACTGAAAACCCACATATTTGTAATTGAATAAATAAAGTAAATAAAAATTTCTTTATATTTTTAAAACATTATAGCATTATGTTAAGCTATAACTAACCAACTTCTAAATGCTTTAGTATGAAAACGTAAACATAATGCTCAACATGAATTACCCGAAATTTAATTTCTAAAATTATAAAATTAAATTACTAGCAGGTTCAATTCTCAAAATAAGTTCGTCGCCCAGTCCTTTGTATAAGTAATTACTATTGGTAAAATATGATATAAAATCAATTACTAGCTGGTTCTCTGAGTTCAATTCTCAACATAAGTTCGTCGCCCAATCCAACAACACCAGCATCCCGTCCAGTTCGGTCCAGTACTCGCATCACCAGATTTGGGGGAGGGGCTGTGTTGGTCACAATGGCCGTAACAGGCAGCTGAAACCTTGTCCTAGAGAACCGGAGATTTCAGAAAAAAGTACCTCTTTTAGTAAATATTTAAAAATTTAGAGCAAATACAGTTACAAATGCGCATTATTTTTTTATTAATTTTCACAAAAATGGTTAAAAGTGTAAATGTTACAGCCATAAATGAATGTTAATAATAGATATTATGTTAAAGTTAAAAAAAATTGCAAATGAAACAAATTTAGTCATCTGTTCTAACTTCAATTGTTTAAAAAAAATTATGTGTAGAAACATATTTAGTTGATTCTATTGTATTAATGTTATATTATATGCTGATTATATTATTTTAGTTAGTCTTATTACAACACATTCAATTGGTTCTAAGTTTAGTTGTTAAAAAAGTTGTAAAAGGAGTAATAGATTTAGTCATTTCTTATAACTTTAGTGGATTAAAAGAAATTTTAATATGAATAACATATTTAGTCATAATCTTTTTTTATCAAACTTTCTTAAAGTACGTAGTTTATGTTCCAGAAAAATATATTACTTTAAAAATATGACCAAAAACCAATTCTGTGATTAACTTGGTACTCTAAAAAGATGTTTTCTGAAAATTGAGCAAAAATGTATCAAAATAGCTCTGAAAAAAATTTAATCAAGTTTAAAAAAACATTTAAATTGAAACATTATCTATTTATTTATGAGCAAAATGCTTAATTTCAAAGATGATGCAGACAGAGAAATGTAGGCGAGAGATGTTCGTAGGCAGGATTCGAACTAAGAACCTCCAATATCATAGTAGGATGCTCTACCGACCATAGTTGTACACCCCAGTCCAAGAAGTGTTAGTAAGCCTCATATAGTGGCCACCGTATTTCATACTTTATTAAGAATACTTTTATTGATTATCAAAATTTTATTTTGGGAAGAAGATAGAAATGTTTTAAGCTATATCGTTCTACTTTTTCATCATGGTGGTTAGAAAAAAAAATTTCCAAAAAATGATAGAGTTTGGCATATAACTACTGTTTGGCAAAAAAAGTTTGCCCTCAAAAAATAAATTTCTTAGTTTCATTCTGGTTTTAGAAATTTTAAACCAGTAATAACCAGTAATAACCAATAATAACCAGTTTTTAGAATCGTATTTCAATATAACCACTTGAAATGTATTATGGCTTACGCCAACATTATTCACAACCTGCTTTTGACCACTCAAAATTGGTATGAATATCCAACACGTCTAAGCAAATTTATTGTAGTACGGTTAAAGAACGTAAATAATCAAACAAATGAGAAAAATGTAAATTTGCGTTATTTTCTCGAACAGAAAAAAATTGCTAACGTTTTTAATATAAATACTTATTTTGTCAAGAAAACTCTCCATACCAAAGGTGCAATAGACAAATATTTTTCCACGTTTTTCTGGAGTGTTCATTTACAAATGATCCACCTGATTTCAGAACTGCACTAGGAGTAACATTTTTGTTTGTTTCGCTAAGCAAAACTAAAAACGTTTTGTGATTCAGATTTGAAAATATAAATAAATGCTGTCACAAATAGGTTACTACGCCTAACGAATTAATCGTAAGGTCTTGTAGAATTTGCACAAGTTTAATCGAATGAGTAGTCAATAATTCATTTGAGTTTATTATTCCCGCAATTTGTTTCAATCAAAATGCTTGCTAGTAATCTTACTAAACTTTTTTGTAACATTAAATTTGATAGCGAAGTCGTTAAAAGTTTGGTTACTAAAACAAGAAAAATGCCTTTGTTTATGAAAAAAAAAATTCTTCATTTTACATTTTTGTTTTTGTTTTTAACAAATTTATGCATTTTTGAATCTTTCGCAATTTTTTAAAGGTATCCAAAGTTAAATCAGCTTATAATTGTATATAACATGTTGCATTAATTCGAGATATTTAAAAATTTAACATTTTCAAACAATCTTTAACATATTAAAATTAACTAAAGCAGAAACATTTATAAGATTTTTAAAGAATTTATCGCATTGAAAGTAAATAAAATTTGCATTCAACTAACTTATATACTCGATTAATAAATCACATTACTTTTTCCGACTTAAGCTTAAATCAGACAAATTGTATTTAACAGCTAACAAATCTAGTACTATTTCTTTTAAATTGAGCTAGTACTTCTACTATTTTAAGGATCTGAACTAGAAAATTAAAGTTACCGTGGTACTGGAAAATTTATATTGTTTTCCTTTAATTTTATGTGCTTGGTTTAAGTACTCTGAACTAAAAATAATAATTTTCTTTAAACATTGATTGACCAAAATAAGTCCTTATGTTATGTTAATAAATGACGTATACAAATTAATGAAAATTTAAAAATATTTTGAATTTTCATCAATTGCTGAAAATTAAAAATATTAAATTTTAAAATCGCCTTTCAAATATAATCTCCGGTTCTCTAGATTGTCTGGGTATCATATTAAGGAAGAGTTCAATTCTGAATAATAACAGATAAGAAATATTATTCCGAACTACAATTTTAGACTTTACAAAATTTTATTTTTTAGTTATTACAAAATTTTATTCCGTTTTGTGAAAGGGGTCGTATGTTGGCAAGATCATTTCATTATCTCCCGATTTATTATGTTGTTGACTAAATAATTTTCGAAAAAAATTTTATGCTAATTCTAGGCATTTAAATCTTCTCAAGTTCCCCTATACCCATAAATTTTAAAAAAATTTATCAACGAAAATAACTTAAATTGGGTGACTTTTTCATTATTTTTATATTTTAAAATCAATGCATTTTTTTTTAAAGTGAGTAGCGTAATTGAGTACGGTAAATTATCCTATTTAAGTATTCTTTTTAACATATACTTATTTTGCTCAACTATCCCAAAACATTATTGGTTGACTTTGTCATTATTTTTATTTATCGAAAAAAATAAATAAATTTTTTATGTTTTACAATACAAATAGCGCAACTATCATATCTTTCGTACTTTTTTTTAATCTTATGGTTTGACCTTATCCAATTTTAATATGCATATAATTCTTATCAACTTCCCCAAAACCTAATTATTTATATGCATCTACAAAAATATGATTTCTTGATTGACTCTTTCATTATTTTTTACATCTAAGAAAAGTTTATTTTCCATTTTTTTGCAATATCAGTAACGTATTTTGAATGCAGTAAAGTACCATAAGTTACGCATTACTTTCATCTTATGTTAATAATGCACATTTTATTTTCTCAACTTCAGTAAGACCTAAACATCGGCAGATTTTATCCATTATTTTTATAGATCCAAAATATAAAAAAAAAATTTTAATGTTTGGCAATATTTTATTTACATATTTTGAATAAAATAAAACATAATTTTAATGTATTCTTTTTATAGATTGCTAATATTATTTGGTTTTTCTCAATTTCGTCAAAGCCTAAATATTATTAAAATGTATCTACAAATATACCATACAATAGGTGACTTTTTCATTACTTTTCTATATCTAAGATAAAAATAAATGTCTCCTGGGTGCATCACATGTGTCATAAATGTAACTAGGAAAAGCAATTCAAAAACATTCTTACGTGACATCCAATCCGGGAGACGCTCCGGGAAAGAGAGCTCCGAGTGTCACAGTTCTATCCAGATTTTCGAAGGAGCAAACGACCTTGATGGTCTTGTCACTGTTTGTCACTATCACGGGGTGCTGCTGTATGACGACTTCATTCGCATAACGTCCAGAACTCTAAATAAGAAATATATAGAAAAAGATTCCTCCTAAATCAGAATATCGAAACATTTCATGCCAACATTACGGGCTGTTGGAATATATTTTGATAACGAATGATAGAATTAGAGTTGTACGTGCTGTATGATGTTTATAATGCATTCTTAGGTTATGGATTTTAGTGCAATTTGGGTGTAAAGGGAAACAAAAATAAGTTGTACTTAATTTGCTTAACCCATTATCCATTACAACTCCTATTTTTGAAATACATTCTTCTTTGCTGAAAGATAAACTCAGTTGCTGAATCCTCAGAGCTTATTTCGGTAATAGAAGAAGTTTGCATGCACCCAAATAAAATAATAATTTAAATGTCCTCTATCGGTACTGATATGAATGCAATTTTTTTAAGAAAATTGTTCAACATTTATTTTTTCATTTAAAATTGTTGTGAAATTTCTCGAGTTAAAAGAATTTTCAATCCGATTTTTCCGCTAAATAGTACTTATCGTAGTACTTAATAGTAGTAATAAGTATCTACCAATTATATTTAGTAGTTGAATTCTTTAACCAGCTGGGGTAAAACTTGTTCTGTAAAGAGGCGGTACTAATACTCACATTAAAAAAAATAGGCACTCAATATTTACTTAAATTTCTTCGTTCCTTAAAATATCAGAGAAAATTATCTGGTAAAATTACCGTACTGTATGGTAATGACATTTCTGGTGAAAAAATGGCCAACCATAATGTTTCTGGTTAATGAAACTAAAATATACGATGTTAAAATCATTCATTTGGTAATTTTTCCCACTCGTTTGGCAAGAGTTTACCGGAAATTCTAGTCTTAAAAATTATTGTTCTTATTACCATACATTTATTAAAAAATACGAAACTAAAACTAAATTTAACCAACTAAATGGTTCTGAAGCCATGTTCTAAAGTAGCATGATAGAAGCACTAAATTTTAAAACATATTTTTAATTATTTATAAAACTATATTTCATTGTTATTTTTTAAACTAAATTCATTTCCGAAGAGCTTTGGTAAAAATACCGAGCCTTTTGGTATTCTCATAGAGTCAGTAATTTTTACCATATTCCGGTAGTTTCAAATATACTTTTTCTCAGTGCAGTAATTGACTGCCAGAAACCTGTTAGAGAGATAGGAGCAGTAACCCTTGCAATTTAAAGTTAAATAAAATTTAAAAAATTTAGAGATATCCAAGAATGCATTGAAATAGAAGTTTTATCAAATATTTGAGGGTTCGCGAATCATCAAAAATCGCCTGATTCCTTGATGAAATTGTCATAAACTTCAAAATACACTCCAGGCATTATTAATTCCGATAAAATATTTTTTTTAAATCTGAATTTGCCGATCGTCAAAATAATTGCCCTTTAAAGAGAGAATACTGAAATAACTTTTGAGAAAACTATTATATAGGAGCAGTTTGAGAAATTGTTTTTAATTTTTAAATATATTAATACATGTCTTATTACTTTTGAGAAGATTTTACAATGAAATTTTTTTAGAGAAATAGCCTAAGAGATTAAATTTTTAAGAGCTAACTTTAAAGGATTTTTATTCTTAAGTATTTTTTAACGTAATATGACGAAATTATGGTAATAAATATAACAAAAGCGAATTAATTTTGATATATTTACTATATTTTAAGATTTAGGAATCCGCTTATAGTCTTAAATAATATTTCTAACATGAGCCGAACAAAGTTGAATTAAAAATTTTTTTAATTTATTAAATAATCTTTATTAAAACTGCACAAAGGCTTTAACTTTTCTCAAATTCTTTATTATAAAAATAAATGCTATCAGGAAAAAAAATAGAATTAAGATCATAGAATAATAAAAGGTATTAAACTTAAGTATATTTATCTTACTTTCATACTTAAAAAAAATCTCCTTTAATTTTAGTTATAATTCTACTATGGACTGATCAATTTAAATACAATTTATTTTTAAATTTAGTTCTTTATCGAAATTTGATTCAGGCTTTAGCTTTCCTAAAATGCTTTGAATATTCAAACAAATCTCTATGAAAAAGAAAAGTAAATTAGTTTTACAAATCAAAATTCCTGGAGACTATTTTCTCGATTTAAATTGTTTAAAAGGTTTTACATTGATTAAAAAAATAGTTTTAATTTCCTTAAACTGTGATTACTCAATAATTTTTAGTTCATTACTATGACTTTCGTGAGCCAATGAGAAGACATTTGTGAGAATTTTAAACAGCTTCTTTGTCAAAGAAAACAAATACTTTATCAAGCAGATTCTATTCTTAAATTTAAAAAAATTACCTTTACGTTAAAATTTCAAGATCAAATATTTGCTTAAATCACTTAAGTACATTTTTCCTTGCTTTGAAAATAATAAAAAAACATTTTAAGTTTAATATTTGTTTCAGTTAATGTTGAATTTTCGAATCGTTAATACAATGTTAGAAAATAATGTTTATTTAAGAGATAGGATATTTTTTAAATAGTTTAATTAAATTATTTTAAAGTATATAGTTATCTTAAAAAGAACCCATTCAGTAATATATACTGAAGGTTTCAGTTTTATTTTGAAGTCATTATAAAAAACTTTTTATTATTATCATGTTCAGCAATTTTATATGCGTAAATAATGAAGCAGAAACAAATTAAAAGTTCTATTTATGCATGTATTGAAAAGATATTGAACTTTGCATATATTGAATTAGTAACTAAGTTCCTGCTGTTTTCTTTAATTTTATATACACATCTTTTATTTTAATTTTAACTTTTTGCATGTTTTTTGATCATTCGAAAAGAATGTTTTGTTTGGCCGAAATCTGAATTTTTTTCCCTGATCGTTATGTTAGTTTTCAGATTATTATAATGGAATATCAAGTTGAGAAAAATTAGCATTTTAGAGAAAAAGGAACTTCCTTTTGACTTTTATCAAGACAAATTTTAAATTCAATAATTTTTTATCAAGATGAATTTCAGAAGAAAAGAAAAGCTGCTCGTGAAATTTGAGCTGTACATGCAGAGAGGCCATACCTAAAAGAAACACTCGTGATTGATATGCCAAGTTTAAAAATGAAAATTTTAACCTTTTTGACATCTTGTTCTGGCCGTTCAATTGAAATCTTTGAAGAGCAATTAAACTAACTTATGCAAATCCGCGTTAATTTCTTAGCATTTCATAGTAATTCTTGAAAATATCTGAGCTACTCTTTAGTTTTTTAGCGAACATAAAATGTTTTAGAAAACCAAGATATTATTCAAAATGTCTAAATGTTAAATGCTAACTTGTCAAGCCTTATTAACTCAAATAAACAAGAATAGAATACATCTGCTAAACCTGCCATTTTGTTGGTTAATTAATAGCTATACTAAAAACTAATTAATTGCATAATTATTATTTATATGGTATGAATTACCTCGACGGTGGTTCCACATCTTGATCCGAGAGAAATGGCAAATAAAAGAGTAGTCTGTCCTGTTCCAACCATATAGCACTGCGTCGGATTACCTTTTGCATAAACTCTACCATGAAATGGTGATCCAAAATTCACGGTTAGCAGCATGTCTTGCTGATTGCACTGCACACTCACTGTAAACGCAAAACAATTTTACTTAAAAATAACTGCTAACATATCCTGATCATAGCCATAACTAATGTTTTTCATCTCTTGTTAATCTAATAGAAGAACATATGCCACCCGTTTAGAGTAAGAAATTCAAGTACCCGCGTTGAAGCTGATTTTTCAATTACTTAGAATAATGTTGAATTTACAATTTAATGGATTTAAGGTGGATTTTTAATTACACTCACATGGGTTAAGGTTGAATTTTGATTTAACAGGGTTAATTCTGGATTTTAAATTGCTCAAGTTGATAATCAGTTAATTAAAAAGATCGAAAGCCTGAGGACTCCTTATTCTGATTATTGCTGGTTAAAATAAATGTTTGTATTATCTGTGAAAATATCTACGAAGTAGTATCAAAGTTAAGAAGAATAAATATACATTAATAATAGAATAATGTACTATTTAATACTGGAATAATATGAATTAATGCAAAAATAATATGAATTAATAAAGTATAATGTTGTACTCACTCTAATTTTTCATTGACTCAAAACATAATTTCATTTATTCAAATTCTTCTTATTTTGTGCTTTTAATCTCCTAAGAAAAGCAATCTTATCACATTTTTAATCTTCCAATTCAAAACGCGAAAGTAAATATCCACTTCAATTTATTTCTGAGTGATACTTATAGATGCTCGTTAAAACAATTAGAAATTCTGATTACATGTAAATTAATTTTATATTTTATAATCGGCGCTCAACAGCCAACCCGATTCTGAGTTTATAATTATCACAGTTCAACTCCTTAGTCTTATAATTTCGAATCGAACTCAGAAGACAAAGAAACTACTGAATCAAGCATTGAATGAAGCTAGCTTTTGTTGAAGAATTTTTGAGGGAACTAATCCACATTTACGTTACATTTAGAGAAAAAAAAAAACAAAATCTTCCCACCGTCAGTCCGACAGCAAATGGGACTCTAACCCATGATCCGTTAATCACTGAGAATATTTTACGTCACCAATCACGTTGATGAGAGCTGGGGGTAGAATTCGTATCAACCAGCTTTCACTGGGGTTCGAGTCTGGGTTACCTCTTCGGGATACGAACTCTCTATTCCATGGACCACAGCGGATCTGATTATTTGAATAACTTTTTCATGAATAAGACCTGAAGCTTATCTAAGTTTTTCTTACCTTGCTCACAGCTGCCTTTTTCGCTGTAGATTGAATTTGGTCTGGGAATCAAGGCCTCTGGGTTCATTTGCATGCTGACCATGTCATCACTACTCAAAGCGCAGTCTCGTACTACAGTCTCGAAGTTGAGAGAGCGACAGGCAAACTTGTCTTCGAGGTCACACTGGCGTTGACAATCAGCTAAACTGTATGCCCGGGTAAGACGATCAATGAACGGGAAGAAACGATCGGGTATAATCTTGTATTCGCATGTAGCGGGTTCTGAAAGAAGAATAAGTACTTATCAGACAAGCAAGAGGCTTAAGATAAACCTATCTTTAATAGTAAAATAAAACTATCGTAGGAAATAATACTCTTTTCGATGCAACAACATTAAAAAAGCTCAAAACTTGCAACTACCGTAACTCCTTTATTATACAGTGGGTGAAAGCATGTTCTTTATGCTGGGTGTGGAAAAAAAAGAAAATAATCAATGAATCAGTACTGATGAATAACACTACGCAGAAAACTGAATAGCAACTCATGCAAAACTGATACCATAGCAACTGAATAACTCATGCACAAAACTGAAGCACATATACCGACACAATTAATAAAGCTAAAAAATTTGAATTCTTCAATTATTTATTATTATTTGTCACCCTTTCCGGTGACTTTACGTTATAAAATTAAGCAAAGCGTGTTTTTGTCGTTCATCCAATCAGTACAGAGGTTAACTGTATCGAGCATCACTTGGCATAAAGTTATTGTTCGAAGCCAGCTCATAGAAGTCAAAATTTACTGCTCTCAAGTAATTTTCTTTCAATGGCTCGTAATAACGAGTCGTTGTACAATAACAGTATTAAAACTGCTCAGTGCTGGTGCAGTTTTGATAGTTACCAAATATATCGTAATAAATCATTGTACCCATATTAGTTTAGTTGGTACATATTACATTTTTGCGAAAACAACACTTAAGTTTTTTTGCAAAAAACATTTATCAGTGAAAGCAAACTAAAGCCGAAATTTTAAAGGGAAATTAAATTCTGTTTAGACCTTAATAAGCACTTTAAAGCATAACCTTTTATCTATATGACTTGTAATATACTGCTTCAAATATAAGTAGTCGTTTTAAAAAGTTCTTTTAATTTTAATTCATTAAAATATAAACTCGGTGTTTCAAAAATTTAAAAAAATATTTTTCGAAACTATGGATAATCCATAGTAGAATTCTTGATTAAAATTGCGCCTATTACCATAATCGCAGTAGTAGTACCATAACTAGTTAAGCGTCATCTGCGTCAATATTAATATGGCGATTTTCTGCCGTTCCCCTAAGGGAATAAATACATTTTCTTCTTTAACTTTGCTTTTTAGTACATAGCTTTTTTTATTTCAATTAATACATAATACCAAAATTAATTAAGGAATGGTGTCAATAAAAATATGATGATTTTGTACGGTTCCCCACAAACCACAATTTTCAGTGGCATAATTCCTTACTTAGAGTGCTACATGGATACCACAAATTGTAGTACTATTTCAATTCGATAACCCATAATCATTTCCTCAACAGGAGAAATGAATATACATTAGACATCAAGGCGTTTGGTAGTCCAGGTCAAGGATCTTTATGGAACCCGTATTAATATTCATCCTTAGCAATCGTTTTTGAGACAGTGCTGGACATGAACAGCCTTTATTTTAACAGTAAATGTATTCAATACCCTCGCTTTCTAGTAAGAAAATAGTTTAACTGTTCCAATCGTGCTTTCACTTTGAATAACGAATAAAATATAGTCTGGTTTATTAGTTACGTGTAATAACAAAAGGTGCTTTAATTATGCAAACAATTTCTCGTCCTATGCTTTTCCGTACTATTAAAAATCTATTAAATCCATAATATTATTCCATACTATAATTATATATTTAAGCCCGTGTTCAGGAAGAATTCTGTAACAGTGTTTCAAAAAAATCCTAGAAGAATGCCATCCCAAATTTGTGTAATGGCCCAAGGCCTAAAGCAGTGACTGAATTCCACCTAAGTACTGGACATGACAGCCAAAGAAACCATCTTTATAAACTCAAAATCGTTCCATCTCCGATATGCACTCTGCGCAGCTCTGGGGAGATCATGGACTCCGCACGTCTACCCCACTGCCCTACTCTGGGCAAGACTGTCCAGCTCTGGGTCGAGCCTTATTGGGAGGTTTCAGATATGTTAGATTAAACTCTACTTCAGCATTTTTTCTGTATTCTTTCTTTTTATTGTTTTCTGCTGTTATCGTTCGTAATCTGCCATCAGAAATTTTAAAAGAAATTATGCGCAATAAGAAATTAACTCAATTTACCTATTTTTATTACCCAGAAGGATTTCGCGGCTGCTACAATTGTAATAACCATCCATCTGAAACCAAGAAGGCTTCAAGACACCGATGGATAAAGAATCCCAAAGCATGCAATAACAACAATGATAACTTATCGACTTGATAACATACTTTTATCATGCTCTATTAATCTTTTTTATCATTGTAACCACATTTATTGCACAGTTGATTTAAGCTTCGGTTTAAAGAAAATATTATATTTAATCAGATATTACCTGAGGCACAATGGTTCTCCAAATATTCCATTTCCGGTAAATCATGAGCAAATGCAGCTGGTTTGCTTCTTCGATCATCAGTATACAGTCGGCAAATTCGTCGGAAAGCATCATAGGTTGCTGATTTGCACGGAGGCACATTACGTAAGCAGAGTTCTTCACAATCAGTGCGCCTAGGCACACCAGGCATTTCAAGCATGGGGAGATCATGAAAATCATAACCTGGCACTCTTTCGAATGCCCATAATTTTCCACAATTTAGTCCTGCAAACCGAATATTAAAAAAAAATGACTTCAATGATTAACAACAAAAATTCTAAAACATGTAATTTTAACTCGACTTTCATGTATGTTTTAGTTTAATATTTATTAAAAATAATAATATATAAAATATTAAAAAATATAACTTATCAATTGATTCCACCAATTTTCCATTGCGTGACGCAAGCAATTGGATTAATATTTTAGGCGACAAACATTTTATAAACACATATCTGAGCCTGAATATATTTGTACCAATCGTAGATAGACAAAATCATTTTAATTCTTACTCCGTAGGCTCGCATAACTGCGTTCTGCCTAGGAACTCATGTTTTCTTCTCACCATGTTCGATAAATAAGTTACAAAGTTTGTTTACAGATGGTGCTTTCTACTTAGAGGAAGTTTTAAGTACTCTTTTTTGACTATATACGATGAACTATGATACTGCGATATATGATGTAAATATGTGCAAGGGCCTCTGTTAATTTTGTCTTCAGACTGCTTCACGTTGTTTGCGCAAATCTCCATTATTTTTAAAGCAGTATTTCATAGTTTTTTTTTTAAAATTAACAGCCCTATTTTTCGAAGAAATCTAAACTGTTTTTGAAACTTGATGAGATAAACATTCATAACCTAAATAGAGTGCAACTATTTAGGCTATGATGCAACTATTTAGGTTAGGCATTATTTTCTAATTACTTCTATTGATTCTTCAAATGGTCAATTTTTGTGGCTATTATTTAGGTTTTATAATATAAAAAAATACGAAATGAGTATTATGAATAAAATTTTATAAATTTAGAAAAATTGTATTAATATTACATTAAAATTCGTTTGAATATTTCTCTCTTTTCATGCCTTCCCTAGACTTTTTTTTAAGAAAAAATAATTGCTTTACCTAAGAAACTTAATGTTCTGAAAAACTGATTAAATGAGAAATAAATGCAACTGGGTGTAATGAACCTTTAAAACTTGAGTCATTAACTTACATAATGATTTTATTTAAAGTAGGCGTTTCGAAGGCAATTGCGGGAAACCTTCCAAAGTATTTCAGATGAACGATTAATGTTTTGGACGTTGTTCAAGACTTCTTGAAAAATGTGTAATAATCTTTGTTTATCAACACTTTGAAATTCCTTCCATTTTGGTATTTTAATACAAATAAGCTTAAAACCATGACACACTCTAGAAGATAGTTTATTTTTAAAAAAGTATTCCGATACCCTGCATTTTATAAAAATCTAAATCTATATTTTCTAAATTCATTTTCGTGCAAATGTAAGAAATTATTTTGCGATTAAAGATTTATTGCTAACAAGAAAAACATTTTTCTGAAATGTGATAAATATTTTAAATTTTAGTGGCCATAAACTTCGTTATTTAATTTACTTGAAATTCAGAGTAAATTCGTCATTAATAAATAAGAAAGGGGCATTAATGAAAAATTCCTGCACGCTAATATTTGCCGATTATTAAACTGGTATATTCTGAAATACGATTTTAGGTACAAAATAGTTGGGGACACCGCCTGTCTCCTTCTCTAACATTTAGAAACAACGCAATTAATCATTTATTCATATACACATATTATATTTTTACATAATTAATCAAATTCATTATCACCATTGTTATTATGCCTAAATTTTAACAGAACAAGTTTCGTTAGTATTAATAATTCTCTTTAACTTACTTGCATGTTAATTAAAGTTATATTTAAAATAATTAAACATTTCATTTTTTCCTATAGATAAATGTAGTAAACGTGTCATGTAATTATGTTACCGTAAGTAGGGCTTATAAAATTTTTTGAAAGTTTTCTTAGTTGTTTCTTACGTTCCAGAAAAAAATGAAAGTTTAAGTTTCATTTAATTATTAAAATTCGCATAGATGAATTACTAAATAATTTTATAAAAATCTCTTAACATTTTATTGGAAGGATCATAAATAACTTGCCCTTTTCCTTAACACGATGGCATTTGTTAGTTGTTTAAAAAAAAAAGGATATTTTCAATTTAAACCATGTGAATCAAAAGTTATTAAGGGTGCTCCATTTTATATTTTGAGCACTGCATATCTTTTCACCAAAAAATTTTAAAACTGTTTTCGTCAGAAGTGCTTCATCTTTAAAAATATCTTTACTTTAAAATTATTTTGCGTATTCTGACAAATAAAAGCTTTGAAGTCTCTTTTAATGAGTTAACCTTTGAATGATGGTTTAATCACAATGTTTTGTGCAGATTTGGAAAAGAAATTTTATTTCTTCATCCATTTCTTTTTGAAACAAACAAAATTTAAAAAGTACCGTCACAAACTAGTAAAAGTACAGTTTTTAATTTATTTACTTATACAAACTGAAAGAACTTTTATCAGATCCTCATGTGACGCGACCTTGCCCATCAATATTGCAAATTGATTTTAAAACAAATATTTATCAGAATCATGCCAAAGTATTGATTAAAAAGGGAAATAAAGAAATGCTAAATATTGTAAGTATAAATTAAAGTTATTGTAAAGTATATAAGAAAATCTTGCGAAGATGCAAAAAAGTATTTTAAATTCACATTGTAAAATCATTGCAAAAATATGTTTTAGATAAATATCGTAAAATTTGATTAGAAGATATTGCATAATACATAGTTGGAACTATTGTAAATATATGTTAGAAAATATTGTAAATATATGTAAGAAAAGATGGTACATTTACATTATAAAATTGTTATAAAAATGTGAGCAGTCAAAAATATTGTAAAGATATGTCGGAAAAGATGGTACATTTACATTTTAATATTCTTGTAAAAATCTGCACAGTCAAAATTATTCGAAATACATGGTTAAAAATATTTTAAATTTAAATTAAGAAAAATTAAGAACTCACATTTTAAAATTTTTGCCTAAATATAGTAGAAAAGTATGGTAAATGCATATTTCTAAAGTCTTGCATAAATATATATATTAAGAAATAATGAAAATATGTATTAATACTTTACCGTAAAATTTTCCTTAAACATATTTATTATTCATTATTTTGTATTAATTATTGTCAAAATAAGTGAAAAAATTCTATTTAGCATTTTAATGATTTATGGTTATGAAATGCAACAGGAAATATACATGATTTCTTCTACATTAAGGGTAAAATCTTCCATACACGGCTTACTTCCAAACAATAATTTCTGAAATGTGCACTTATTTACAGTTGTTTAAACAGAACTAAAAGAAACAGTTATTCATCATTCAAATTTCTTTAATTTGCTTAATCAATTATTGACATATATTTTGAATGAAAAAAAAAATTCAAAATTGCTTATTTTGTACTTTATATTTTAACACAAATATAATTCCGATAGTCTTACTGTTTTTTTAGTAACTATTATACTGTTTTTATAATTAAAAAGCATCAAAATATAGTTTTGCTGGTAATTGGAGAGGCAGAAAAAAATATATAAAAGGGTTTCGGCAACAAAGGATTAAGATAAGTATGGCGAACATTAGTTGCATATAAATGATAAATATGCATTCTACCTGAAAGACAAATCTTTTCAAAGTATACTGTATCCTGTGCGGGTGATATAGTGTTGTCTATTCCACTGGAATAAGCATCCAACCAAAAGCACAACTGTTGATATTTTGAATATTCAATCATAAATCCTTTGCAACGTTCACCTAATCTCTGGCAATGACTCTGACACTCTGTTACGACTCCTATTGGATTCCTTGTTATAACTCTTTCTTTACGACCGAATCTAAAAATAAGAAAAAAATAAATAAAACTCTATTAAGTTTATATATAGGTTTTTATTTGAAATATAATTATAGAAAAATTATTTTCTTTTCTATTTAAGACGTATCAAAATCTATAAAATTATCTGATTTTTTTGCAATAAAATATTTAAAAAAAAAGGTATGTTATTTAGGTTATAAGTTATTTAAGGATGGTTTAGTTTTGGTGCGAATTTAGTTCATTTTTAATTTAGTGACTGTTGCCATTATTCTTCTAACCCTTTGCTAAATAATATATTGTCTACCACTATTTTGTATTTAATATCGGTACCTTATATCACAATACCGTGCAAATTTGCTGCAATTTTAAGAGAACACTAAAGGTTTAGAAAGGGAAAGATCTACCAAATATTCAACATATCATTTTCAAAGAGTAAAAAAAAATTCCCATTTCACTCATTAATACGCAGCAAATTGGAGCTTTTGCAAACGAGTTATATGAGTTTCAATTTGTAAACAAGTGTAATATTTAATTTATTGTAAATATTCAATCATAAATCTTTTGTTACGTTCCCTTAACCTCTGACTGTGACTCTGACACTCTGTTAAAACTCCTATTGGATTCCTTGGTATGACTATTTTTTTACGACTGAATCCAAAAAAATATAGATTTAAAGTTTATCAAAGGTTTTATTTTGAATATAATTTTAAAAAAACCTTTATATTTTATCTTATTTTATTACTGTAACATAATCCATTAAATTAGCTTACATTTCTAAAAATTAAAAAAAAAGTTTGTAATTATTTATGGATGGTTATGTTTTGGCTTTAGTTTAGGTTATTTTCAGTTAAGTAACTGTTTATAAGCGCTTAAATTCAACGAAAAATAATTAATAATTCATTTTTATTTTCTTTTTTGACATGAAAAATCTGTAATATTAGCTTATCTACTTTTAAAATTAACAAAAAATTAATAGTTATTTACGAAGGATTTGTCTTTGACTCTAATTTAGTTTATTTTTAGTTAAATAATGAAAAATGTTTAATAATTCAATTTTCTTTTCTTTTTTTGATCTAAAAAATTTACAAAATTAGCTTATATTTTTGAAAAATTATCAAAAACGTTAATAACTATTTAAGAACAGTTTAGTTTAGGCTCTAATTTAGTCTGTCTAGTTAAATAACAAAAAATGTTAAATAATTTAGTTTATTTTTTAATTTATTAACTGTTGTCATTTATATAGGAATATTCGAATCGAAAATTTACGTTTTTTCTTTAAAAACGTGTCAGTAACAGTTTCATGTAAAAGAGAGAATTTTTCCTTTAAATCCATCTAAAACTCCTAAATGTAATTAATCTTTTAATGACGAGAATTCTTTGAGATAATTACTAATACTTACTAAAAAAACGTATATTATTATATACACTCATTTTCCTTGTCATTTACTTGTAAAGCAAAATTATTCATCATAATATTTAATCCTTTTTTGATAGTTTAATTATTAGTATTATCTAACAAAACAAAAATATAGCTACAATAAAAAACGATATTTACATATCAAATATGCTACTTGATTAATAAATAAGTAGAACATCATGTTAGTTTAATATGAATATTAAATAAACAATTAACGGAACATTTAATTAAAGCCAGTCGTCTCATCCTGACAAAATCCTCATGAGAATTCAGTTCACTAATGCTCATACGCCATGAATCGAAACACAAATAATTTAGTTTTATCTGTTTGATATTTCCTAATAAACTCATGATTCGTTCGTGATGTTGATACTTAATTTTCTATGATAAAGTACCATAATACATCTTTGATCTCAATAAATAAATTAATATAAAATTACTTTGCTTTTCTCTTCTTTAAAGATTGCATACGAACTATATAATTAAATTTGTAAGTGAAGTGCATCAAATGGAAAGTTTATAGAACAAATGGGAAATTGTATCGAAATAAATATTAATGTATTCAAAACATGATTACAAAATCGTCATGAAATGCAAACTAGAAGATTGATTTGAGTTGAATTTTTTTAAACAAAATGTAAACGTTAGAAAGTCTATATTTATGCGTATTCGATAAATTTCTTTTAAAATAATTTGCATCTATATTTAAATTGTTAAGCAATATTAGCGTGAATTTCACGTTTTTTTTTATATAATAGGAAAAAATGATATATTATTATATAAGAAGAATGAGATAAAATGGTTTGAAGCTTTCTGTATAGAAAACTAGTCTGTTCTCACTAAGTTTAAAAAATTTTACATAGTTTTTTAACAGATGTTAATTAAGAAGACGCATGTTATTCAAAATGATAACATATATTATCAATTTGAACAAAATAAGCCACCACTTGCAATAACAATATGGAAAAAAAATTAACAGAAATTTGATCAAATATTTCAGTTGAAATGCTCTAACTTTGCGGCAAAAACCATTATTTCATAGTTCTGGACGAACAGGGAAACGAAGTTATGGACAATCTATAGGCGAACATGGTAACTAATTTTAAAAATTAGTTAAAAATAACTGGTTTTTGCAGATTTCAATCGCTTAATTTTCTTTAAGTGATTTTTCAAATAGTCGGTAGTTTTTGCTTTTTTTGCAAGCCCCTTCAAATGAAAGCAGTCTAAACAAAATTGGGAAATATTGTGCTGAACTAAAATCAAAGTCGGGATAACCTGGTTGGTAAGACGTTGGGCTGATGTCCATGAGGTTGTGAGTTCGATCTTCACCGGTGGACAGCTTCCCGTACAGTAAATGGTGACTGGTGCTCATGAAATCTGTCAGGTCACAAAGTCCGGCATTTTCCCATATCAAATCAAACACCTGGTGTACTAAATTGGAGATTGATCGTTCTTTGGTTTAGATCAAAATTACGATCCATGGATGATGAATGGGTGCATGAATGATTCCGCCCTATAAACGGGTTTGGTTGTGTGTGTGCGTCTGATATCGTAATCTTGGCAGTAGATGGCCCTACTGGAAAACAAGAAACGCACCCTGTTCCTTGAATTCTCCTGATTTCACCAAGCACGCTTTGCTGGCATTTTCAAGTGACAAAAAAACAACACTAAAAGGAAAATAATCATTTCTCTATAAAATCTGTTGAAGGCGCTTAAAAACGCACTTAGTTTGTTTTTTGAAGCCAATTTTAAGGTTTGTAGGGTAAAAAAAGGAAATAGAAGTTGATTTTACATTAAATAAATACATTTTACAATGCAAATAACCATTTAATTAAAACTTTATCGAAAAATAAATGCATTTTGAACAGTCGAGTTTTCACTAAGTTAACTAAGTTTTTACAGTAAAATGAGAAAAAAAAAATATTATAGTTAGTTGTTATTATATTTTTTTCTTATTCCACAATCGAATTTTGACGAAATATGATATGCTTCAAGCTTATTGAGGTTTTAAATCCCTCAATTCTCAATCCACAATTTATCTTAAATCCCGGCATTGAGCTACTAGAAGAACCGAAAGTATTACATGGTGCATGGATATATATCATGCACAATGTAGATTCACTACATGGGTGCATGGGTGTTGTGTATACATCCCCCTGTACCTATGGGGCACCATAGTTATACTCCTTGTGATTAAAATTGGCGTCTCAAGGTCATATTTTCTACCTTCGTCGCCTTGGTAACGATGTGACCGTCAGCAACGCTCCTCTTTTTATTCACACAGCAGTTAAGCAGTATCTATAACTCATAACTGCATATTACCATAATATTATTATAATAATAACGTACTGGCGTGTGAGAAAAGTGAGATTGTTACTGTGGTAACGAAAAAGGAGGAAGTGGGGAAATTGCGCAACCTTGAAAGGCGTATTCTATTTGCGAAGACTACAAATAATACGAATATTATATAAGATAATAAAAAAATCATGATTAAATAAGTAAAAACAAATATTTCCTGTAGTTAATTTTAATACAAGCGTTACTAACTAATTTTGACGATTGGGCTTAAAAGTTACAAATTAGTTAATTGAATTGTGCATAAAGTGTTTAAATTATTTGAAATACGATTAATGTTATTGTACCTTAAATTGTAGTTAACAACTTTCTCATAAGTGTATTGCTCGAAGCTACATCGAGTTATTGGGGGAGGAAGAGTTGGAGGATGGTGTGTTGGCCTTGTAGGTGGTGTTACAGTTGGAGGCGAATCGGTGGATATCGTTGGTGGCGTTGGCAAGGTTGTACCTTTATCACAAAAAGTAATAATTATAAAATAAGAACATGAAAACATTTTTAAAAAAACTTTAAAATATTTAAAGTGCAGAATTAAACGTAATAACTATATACAACTTACAGTTGCAAATTTTCTAATACTTTTTGTAGAAAAGCATTAATGTCTAAATCTTTTAAAGCAAGCAATTACAGAAAATTAAATTCATACTGAATTATAAGAAAATTTGTTATGATGAAAATTAAAGTTTAAATTTTCAAAAAAATTTAATTTTATAATAAATTTTCAACAATCTGATTTGATTTTTTGTAGCAAGTCATTAAACTAAAATGTTAATTTTATACCCACTATATAATATTTTCCTTTAGTATCATAGTATTTCAAAGTATACCTTTAGTATAATATTTTAAAATTAATTTTTAAATAACACAAGAAATTTTAAGAACAGAATTTCATTTTTCTGAACTTATTTTTTTTAAACTACATACTAAATTTTTAACTATAAATAAAATAAAATTATTTTATGATGTATTTTATTTTAATTGTTCAATTTTTTAAAAATAGCAGCATTTTAAAAAGCAGTTTTTTTAAAAAAAAATTCTTGAATTACCTTGTATTTGTCCTCTACATTCCACTTCTTGATAAAGAGATTTATGTCTATATCTTACAGCTTTTGCGTGTCCTGTTTGCCTGTTTTCGGGACTTAATAGGCATAAATCATTTATTCCTCCTTGTTCCAAAAAACTGTATGACCTACAGTTGAAATCCTGTTCCTTTATGCACAATTGACGACAAAGCTCAAAATTGCTAATTCCAGGAATCGCTTTACTAGTGTATACCATAAACAGATCTCTTTCGGGTATCTTGTATGGACATGTAGATGTTCCTGTAATTTTAGTGAAAACATTAAACATTTAGTGAAAACATTAAACCATTAAACAGAGCAATAGGTGTATGATAAATTTGATGCTCGTAAATATAACTAATTTAATTTTTTTAACAATAATGTCATTCTAATTTTTTTAAAATAGGAAGGATTCATTTAAATGATTGAAATAGTTGTAGAGTTTCTAATTTTCTGGGGGGAAAAAGTTACCCCTCATTCGTTGAAAAGTGATTTCGATTTTTAAAAACAGGGGAATTATTTCATTAAATCAACATTTTTCGAATAAAAACGCAATATGTGAAAAGCGAGTTCTCAAACAACCGAAAATCCAGATTGGTGAAAATTGAACTGAAGGTACTTACCGGCCTTTTTCTTCTATAGTTCTACTGAATATATCCAAATGAAATTTCTAATATATGTTATTCAGATCATAGGGTTAAGATTTCCGTCGAAATAAATAGTTCAAAATAGTGTTAATAGATGGTGTTGTGCAGTTAAAATATTGCGCAAATGATGAATACATGCAATCATGTGCACACCATGAAAAAGCTATGCACATAAAGCAATCAGATGCTTAAATAAATAAAGCATTATATTAGTCTTCGCAAATTATCTTTTTTTTTTACTGCCTTAAAATGCCACTTCACGGCGAAATGAACTATATTTCGACGGAAGCCTTGGCTCCGTGATCTAAACGTATATGACATATGAAGTTTTATTTAAATTAAGTTGAACTGGAGATGAGACTCGCAGAGTACCATCATTTTAATTTTAATCACTCTACATTAGAATACAATCATTGTTAAATATTGTTTTCTCAAGCTGGCAACAGATAGCATCTCTCTGTATATATAAAAGTGTAAGTCTGTCTGTAAGCATAAATTCCTATAGCTCGTGCAAGAAAGCACCGTTTTCTACCATGCTCATTTCGGCAGTTTGAATATTTTCAGCAGTGATTAAAGATTTTCTCGCAAAGCATAGCTAGGACGCAATATCGAATAGACGAAAATCCATTGTTACAGATTAAAAATTCCTACGTATCAATATTTTTTTAAATATTTTACATCTCCCTAAGATGACTTTTTCCACATGCAATGTTAAATAATAATAAAAAATAAAAGTGGTTTATTTTATTGTTTTAACATACACTATCATGGAGGAGTATTATTAAGAAGTTTTATCTTTATTTTCATACAAAGTGGAAACAAACAAATTCTAAGAAAGAAATACCAGTTTTAAGCTCACTAAATTCAAATAAAACTTATATGTTTTCTAAGAGTCAAGAAAAAAAAACCTCGATAGAAGCAATTACGTTATCAATTTGTAAAATAAATACTATATTTAACCATTAGTAGGTAGCTTTAAACATAAATATGCTTATTCTTATACCTCCAAATGGTAATTTAATTTCAAAAAATAATTAATTTATTAAACTTAAGCACTTAAACGTTTTGTTTCCCATTTTCAATAATTATATTTTTTACAACCTTTATAAACAAGAATACTTTTCATACTTTTTGTAATTATCTTTTAAATAAAAATAGCTTAGACTACATTTGAAAAAATCTGTATTTGTGATATATGGCTTTATAATCTTACATAAAAAAACTTAGAACTTCATCGAAAAAAGAATTGTACTACTTACCAATGTTACATTGATTTTCCAAGTAGTCAACCCCGCCAGCAAAAGATAGTTGTGTGTGTGGAAAACTTTGTTCTTCAGAGAAAAGTCTACATTCTTGATTGTAGCGATAATAATTGGCCGAACGGCAAACGAATCGTTTCTCCTCCAGGCACCTTCTCTCACAGTTTGATCTTGACACCAATCGGATTACATCTCTGGCAACAACACCCCTCAATTCTTTGTCCACGTACCTATCGAACATCCACTGCTTCGAGCAACCTAGGTAAACTAGGGTACAAAAAATAGTTAGTTACTAGTTAAAACAAGAAAACAACACGAGAATTACTAATTCAGCAAAGCAAAGAAATGGGTTTTCTTATTTTCAGTCTCAATATATGATAAGAGTTTACAAGTTTTAATGTTTATCATTTACTATTAAACTCATTTTTTATTTTATATTACTAATACATAAGTATATTGTTGAAAAAAAAAGAGGAAATTTCTTTTTCGCTCTTTCAGCCCTAAAACTAATTTTGGGATCTTCCACGTAAATAAAGTTTTCATCGAAAACGGTCTGTTAATGAATATAAAAACTTGCTTAAAAACTAATTAATAACACCTAAATGGAAAACGTTTTGCATAAATATGTTTACAACCGCATACATATCATAAATTACAATGTATATTTACTTACATGGCAAATAAACACCTTCAAAATAGACCTTGCTATCAGCGGGTATAACTCTTAGGGTATAGTGAGAGATGCTAGATTATGAAAATCTGTCTAATAAATTACAATGCAAATTTACTTACATGGCAAACAAATGCCTTCAAAATAGGCCTTGTTATCAGCGGGTATAAGCTCTTTGGGCTTAGTGGTAGAAGTTTCCGATCCACTGTAGCATTCCTGCTTCAAATAGTCCAGGGTAAATCCATGACACTCATAATTCAATTCGCACATCCTTCTACATTCTGTAATGATTCCTGGAATATCAGGATTTCCTCTGTACAAAACTGATACGCTGCCTAAATGTTGGTAGCCTGTAGTTTTTTCCAACATCATTATCTCGCCATGGCTACACTGCCGAGCTAAATTCGGAATAAAAATTATTCATTATTTATCATTTATATTTTGTTTTAGATCCAATTATTTAAAGTTTCACAAACATAACAAATTCCTTTTACCTCGCGACAATTCATCAAGTAATTCTGATCAGTGGTTTTTTTACAACCATTTTACAACTTGTGAATAATATTTCGAGCGCATCTTTCTTGTAGATGACAATTATAATGTTACAATCATTATACCTAATTACATTTTAATTAAAAATTAATCTAAAAAGAACTCGTCTATATTTAATATGTACTATGAAATAACAGCTAAATTTGGAATGACTGTTAAATTTGTTTTGGTAGTTGAAAATTTATCACGGCCTTTCTATGTACTGAATTTTAAATAGGAAAAATTTAGAAAGATGAAAAATGTTTATGATAAGGTTTTTACCAGTTATTGCTTATAATACTTCTTTTTATACTCATTTAAATTTAGTTTGGTTCTTAGTGTAGCACTAGAGCTACACAAATGAACTATTGGCGATGATTTTGGATTGAACTTTAATGATAGACTGAAGTTGCGCCTGCAATTACTACACATATACTGCCACAATTTAAATCGGAGGACATACAGTGATAGTAATCATCCGGCTTCTGCAACACACTTCCAACGCCCAACAGTGCGTGGACTTTTTCTGGTTCTGAAGTAAATTGAACTAAATGCTCAATCTGTACGTGATTACTCAAGACATTAAAAGAGAAAAAAAAAAAAAGGCAAAGCTACGAAAATATTAATATAACAGAATAACTGAACAAATCACTAAAGCAGCTAAATGAGATTTTCATTTCACTAGTAACTAAAACAACAACAAATATCAGTATTGCAATACAAACAACCCATTTCCTTAAAGCTTAATGAATATCGGTCATTACAAATGAAACAAAATACTAGGCAAGTTATCTATATATATATTTCTCTTACACGGCGACTAAAAAAGCCTCATTACAACTCCCCGAATGGCAGCTAGAAAATCGACCAATGACTGCCGCTACAAATGTCACATGCCAAATCTAGCTGAGGTGGCTCAACATATAGCGCTTTTAAAAACGAAACATATAAATCCCGATTCGAAACGTGACAAAATGCTTCCTCGTAAATCTTGCTACAGTTTCACCACCAATTTCGCAACAGCATTTATGTAAGGCAGTGGGGCAGGTTGAGAAAATGGTGTCTCACGTCTATCACGCACCACGAGAGAGAAATCATATACATATAAAAAACGTCCACGTGATGAAGAAGAACCAATCAGAAGTTCTCTCCAAACTCTATTTCATAAGCTCTAGTTCAAAGAACTGTGGTTCTAAAGATTGTTGAGGATACGAATCCGCGAACACGAAATAGGAGTAAGTGCAATCGAATCAGACACCAAGATTTTTGCCCATAGAATCGAACCCTGACTTAAGCCATAACACTAACTGGGCTGGCTATTTGAATCTGCTATTACAGAATGGAGAAATGCGAGCAAATAGTTCATACATCAATATTTGTGAGATACGTACCTTAATCTGATTGGCATTTTAAACTCGGCATATAATAAAATTACATAACATAAGATCATGAAGACAAAGAAAAAATTGAATTTCTAAAATGTCACTTGTATGCTATATTTATGGTGATCTTTAACTTAAGAAAAAAATTTATTTAAACTGACTAAAGTAACCGTACCTGTTGTTTATTTTTGTCTCTTAAATAAAAAAAATTAGTTCTGATGAAAAAATTTTATAAAAAGCATTGAACTAGATGTTGTTATACAGATGCTTTACTTGCAGATAATTTAAAATTAGAGATAATTTTATAAAACTTATCTAATTAAAATTTCATATTTTATAACTATATGTATTTTTTTAATAAAATAAACTATGAATAATTACAGCCAACTCCTCAAAAAAAATTTACAAAACATTGCAAAAACATTTATGTTTTCTTGTCATTTTACACGTTAGATTTACTAAATTAGTTTGGTTTAGTAGATAAATGATGTTGATAGTTTTCGCAAAATGAGTTTGATATACATAATAGGAGTAATTTATCATGCCAAACTACTGAATAACATTGGATTGTGTATGTATGCTTTGAACTTTATCCAAAACAACATGTCAGTCTCAAAGCAATTTAGTTTTATCACTGTAATTTATCTGATTTATTATTAATGCTTAAGCTCTTTAATGGTTAAAAAAGCAGCATTAAACAAAGAAGAAAAGAACATAATTTTTCACAACATACTTTAATTTCTAATTGTTACAAACTGAGCCGTTTTTCAGTAATGATCCTACGCTCCTCATTAAAAACACATGTTTCATTTGTAATTAAAACTTGCATTATATCTAATACAAGTCTATCGTTTTTCTGCCGCCGGTAGGGATTTTAAAGTTAAAATGTGGAATGAACAAACCATTTATTTCTAAAACGCTTAACTAAAAGTTTTTTTATTTGAAATATCTGTAGGTACAAAGAAAACTGACTCTTTTTTATAATTTTGTTCATTAGAGGTGCGTTTAAAAAACTTTGAATATTTTATGAATGCCATTTTTTAATTAAGGGGAGCAAGGAATTTTTAAATTCATAGTTTTGAAATTCTAACTATGAACTATTTTCAACTTCGAACTATGTACAGTCATTAAATGGTAAATAAGAAATATTCAGTTTTTGATGAGTTATTATAATGCCCTTAAAGACTAACAGCTTTGTTTCTCAATCAACAAAAATTTTTGTGAATGGCCCCCAATTTAAAAAAATTTACATTTTTTGAATGAATTCATTTTTTCTCACGAAACGAAAGTGATTGTGAAGCAACTAATAGGGCAGACGTTTTCGTCTGACATGATGCATTATATTCATATACACTTTCTTTATTCTTTTTCTTTTTATTTCTCTTTTTTAAATTTTTAAATGTATAACAAAATTCTTTTTTTTATTGTTCATGTTCTTTTTCTTTCATTTATTGTTTCAGTCATTGTTTTTTCTGAAGCAAATGTGTTGCACTTCTTTGACTTCTGCAAGACTTTCAATGTTGTTTTTTGTTGTAAAAAATTTTATCTGTATTATGTAATATGCAAATTTTTTTAAATAAATTCCCACTGATAAGGCTAGCTCGCCAGGTTGTGGCGAGCTGGACTGGTAGCCAGAGGGGTACCAGTCCAGGGTAAGGGTTTTGCAAACCTAGGTACGGTAAGGGTTTTGCAAGCCTAGTACGTGTCCACGTCTGGAGGAAAGAAGAAAAAAAAAGACGAGTAGCAACGATCTGGGAGCAAAACTCCATAGTGATTAAGGGAAATTATGTTTCACCATGAGCTTCTTATACTGCACTTTTAACAAAATAATCTTTTTTCAGATACAAGTTCAAAGTTAAGGTTATTCAATCTGCATAAATCAAAAATACTTTAAATTAACAATAAGAAAAAGAATTTTTACTTGGAGGTGGTGGATCTGTTGTGGGTGTAGTTGGCATTTCTGTCGGGGGAGTAAGTGACGGACACTTCCTTTCATTATAAACAAGGCCTGGTCGACTTTGTACCGCACCAGAACCACCACTGGCTCGGTCATCACCACTCAAAAAGCATTGTCCATTGCTTGAATAGTATGCGTATGATCGACAGTTAAAGCTACGATACTGAGTACAAAACTGCTCACATACTTCGTTAGATGTGATGCTGACCATTTGGATATGATCTGTGTAAGTTGGATACGAATCTGCAGTTTCTTCATATGGACAAGATTGTAAAACTGTGGAGAAAGTTAAAATTAAATTGTTTAATTATTGAGTTATTATAATTGTGTGTAGAGAATATAGAGATTAAAATATAGTTAAAAATCTAGAGAAAGAAATATAATAAAGATTAATGAAAAGAGAAGACGAAAAATTATTAAAATAAAAATTTTTTATAACGTTAAAAAAAAACTTTTATTCAAAAGTCATTAAAAAAATCACTTTAGATTAAAATCGTAGGCTTATCCATTAAATTTTCAATCAAGATTGTTTTAAATGATATATTTATACAAAACAATTATTTTATACTGATTATTAAAATTTGTTACAATCATAGAGATATGATTACCTTAGACTAGAGATACAGTTTAAGTTGAATTAATAGAGATAATTATGCCAAAAATTAGCTTTTTATGGCCTTCTAGGAAAAATATTTGACTATTTTTGTTAATTCCAAAACTTATGCATTTTATACATATGCATACATTACGTATGCATATGCATAAAATCATAGGTAATCAAAATCTTAGACAATCATAGAGATATGATTACCTAAAACTAGAGATTCAGTTTAAGCTGAATTAATAGAGATAATTCTACCAAAAATTAGCTTTTTATGGCCTTCTAGGGAAAATATTTGACTTTTGTTAATTCCAAAGCTTATACATTTTATACATATGCATACATTATGTATTCTACGTATATTATAAGAATAACCAAACTGTATTAAAAATAATAACTATTTGTGACATCATACACACACCTGGTAGACACTGATTTTCTAAATAATTCACTTTCACATTATTTGTTCTTCTGTAAAATGATGGCAATGTCCTCCTGTCTTCTCTGCTTAGTTTACATTCTGTTGTATCGTCATTGTAGAGTGCTGATCGACATATGAAGCTTCTTTCTTCTAAGCATAACTCTTCGCAATCTCGTCTGCTTTGGACAAATGGAACGGTACGGTCATAGAGTTGTGCTTCTAGTTCATGCCCGAGAACTCTTTCAAAAGCCCAAGCTCGATCTTTGCAAGCAGTAGCTACAGGTCCTATTTTGTAATATGCAAAATTAGATATGCAATAAACTAAACTAAATAATATAAAAAATTTACAGTGCAATAGACTAATTGAATTATACGGTTATTTTCAAACAGCCGCAATACTTTTTCTATACGCTGTACTAAATGAGAAAATACTGTATAAATTATCAGTCTGACACATTTTTTAGATTCACTGTTATGTTCCCACAAAAAATATAGGCTAATTAGAAAGTGTTTCATTCATTGCTAAATCAGCCTCATTCATTTCAGTAAGTTTATATTAAATCTGGAGAAGTGAAAGAACATTGTTAATAGTCTTATTAAATACTTCTGCAATAAACTTAAGAAAATTCAGTCTGAATGCATAATCTCCTTATTAGCTCGTCATCTCCTTATTAGCCTAAGCATTTATACAAAAAATGTCAGTACTCATGGCTTTTCCAATTAACTTGAAGCAATAAAAACAGCTGGAGACTTTTGCTAATAGCCGGATTCTTCAATTTTTAAATTATTTATATTTATTAGACGTAATAATATTTTGAATATTTTGTAATACTTTTTTTTTAAATGACAGCAATGATATAAGTTTTAATTGACTTGTTTTTGAAAGTTCAAAAAGTTCAAAAGTATTAAATCGCTTTAATCGAAAATATTTTTATTTAATTTAAACTTTTTTAAACATACTCTTAAATATATAATTTTTCATTATTTTTTAATTTCGCAATATCTATAAGAGATAATGTTTGAGATAGACTTACTTTTATTCTCGTAGATAATATTACTAATACGCAAAATTGTGAAAAAAGTTATAACTCATCAGTAAAAATTCTACTTTTGATATTTTGCAGAAGACAACCAACTAATATTTGAAAATAGTTATTTATGTAAAATTTATAAATTTTGAAGTAGTCTAAAACACTTCCTTAGGTATAAAGCCTCTAAAATAATTAATGAAAGGCAGAAATTTAAAAAATTTCTTTAAAAGAAACTATTACACAAACCTTTAGAAATCAGTTTTATGTACAAAAAGTGAAATAGATTCAGCTTCTTCACTTCACTTTGAGAAAGTGATTCAGTTTCTAATTTTCCCCTTTAATTTATTATTTTAACTAAATTTGTCGCCAAATCAAACAAAATTCTTGAAAAATGGCAAGTTATTCAAAACAAGAGCGAAGATATGAAAATAGAAAATATGATCTGAATACTTCAGGATCATTCTTATTCTCCAGATATTGATAATCTTACCGACGGCTGAGCAAAATTTAATTTTAAATCATTGAAACTACATATTTTTTATATTTCGTCCCAGAAACTAATTACGCGTTTCAAACAACTGAAAAATTAATTTGACTTAATAAATAAAAAAGCTCCGTTATTTAGTAATTCATACTTATAACATTAATTAACTTTTCATCATACTGAAATTAGCTTATCGACTAATAACCTTTTTTCTCGGAAAATATACCAGATATTCCCTGTTTTTTTGCATAACATCTAATCAACTATATAATTAAGTTGTACAGAAAAATCATTTAAATTTTAAACGCTACTGCTCTTTCAATTGTTGTAATTCAAAGCAGAATTCTTTTTTTTCTAAAAACTCATCTTTTTCCTATAATGAGAAATTTGGCAATAATTATACCTAATTTTTTGTACATCTTTGCATATCTTTAAAAGCAAAGGGAACTGACAGGTTAATTTCAGGAGGAACACCGATGATATATTTTTTCTAGCATTAAACATCAAAAGCACTCAATTTCTAAAAATATTTTTCAAATAATGGAAAGAATCATTAGAACGCACACAAATAAAACTAATTAAATAATTGCCTTTACCTCCCGTTCTTTAAGTAAATTATTGATTTTCAGTTGTTTTTAATATATTTAGTCATCTAGTTTGTATAGATTGATATTGACTTGATAGAACAGCTGTTTTTAATAAAGCATATGCAATGCTTAATTTCTTCCATCAACTTTCTGATATCTTTTTATATATTTTGAGACTGTTTTGCTATGTTTCTTTCAATTAAATAAAGTTTGAAGATATAAAACATTTGGATACTTCCTTTAATCAGTGAAAAAATAACTCTTAATGCATTAAAATATATTTATGTATATGTATTAATATACTAATTAAAATAACTTTGAAAAAAAAATTTCAGTGGTCATAGAATTGGTTAGATTGAGTTAATGTTTTTCAAGCATTCATTTGATAATGTAGTCTATTTTATTGTTAACATTGACTTGAAAGTGGTTTTTGACAAATTCATAAATATTTTTTTTTATTTGTTTAGGTATTGATAAGTTAATTAATTTGTATTCAACAAATATTCTAGAGTAAATGTAATTGTCAGAATTTTTTTCTGATAGTCTGCCATAATTTTTGACTTTTAGAGGTTTTTAATTATACCACGTTTGGCCTATAAGACTTTTAAATCAGTTTATTATAACAGATTTTGTGATAAGCTTACCACTTTTGGGAATGGAACCCAATTCCTACATTACAAAAATTTCCGGATCATTTCACGGCAAACAGTTCTGGCATCCTGGGTGCATCATCCGTAAAATCCATTTTTACCGTAAAATGTTATACCGCAATTTCTTTCATTAATAATTATTCAATTGCAGTTATTCGGTGATTTTATACTAAATACTACTGTAAAAATTACGGTATATCAGATTCTTTGTTGCGTGAAAATTTACAGTAAAATTGAATTTTATTGTAAAAGTACAGACATCCAAGGTGTCGGTACTTTTTACTGTGATGTTTTGCATTTCAGAATTAAAGTTTGATGCTTTAATCATTATGTCATTGTAGCCGCATACTAATGCATAAAATGTCATTGTAAAATTGAAACTTTGATATGATGAGATTAAAATTTTTAAATTTTAATCGTAACTGAATCTATTTTGAAGTTTATAGAGTCAATTACATTAGAAAGTAATGATGTTTTGGAGTGGTATAGCTTCTATAAAGGTAGGCAATGAAGCAGTCTATAGTATATAAAAAAAAAATTTCGTAGCACTATCGATTGCCATTAATGTTTACATTAAACACCTTCTTACCTCTGAGACAAATCTTTTCAAAATAGTTTTCTCCGTCCCTGGGTATGAGATCTTGAGTTCGACCTTGAGAATTTCGATCTAGTTTATCGCATCTCATATTCTGATAGTTCACCGAAAATGCCGGACAATCTAACCCATCTCGCTGACAATACTCTTGACATTCTAGAGTATTTCCCAAGCTTCCTGGATTGCTCACCATGATTGAGTTCTGCACTGCTGATCTTAAAACAAAACCAGTCATTTTCTCGTAAGTGAAGGCACCTCCAGTACATTGCTCTGAAAAAGGTTTATAGTAAATAACATGTATATAATCCATGAAGTTTATCGATAGTTTATATTAATTTGTAATTATATGAGTTAGATTCAATAATTATAGTTGAAATGTTTTTTTTTTCTTCATTGAAAAATACATTATTTCACAAGTTGGCTCCAAGACATTGATTAACCTGTCATCTCCTGCTCTTAGCTATGCATGGACGGTTGATTGATTTTCATATCCTTTGAATAGATTATATAGCGTATGTCAATCGTAGCTTTAGGGACAACAGCTTTATCTCCTTTTATCCCGTTGAGAACATGCATTTGAAACTCAATTAGATATCTTCGCTGAATAACATGAAATTACTGTATCGTTATTTTACATTAAAAAATTTGACCCGAAATGTTTGAATGGCTGTTATTATATAAGGGATAAATCGAGTTGCAAATTTAGTGAATCAAATATTAAGTATTAAGCTTTTTCGGAGCCTTTCATTTTCATAAAACTATCTGTTGCATATCAGTTCACTTTTTTAATTTAAAGCAATCAAGATATCAAAAGCCTTAAAGCTGGTAACGTTTGTTCCTAGGTCTCTTCATTAAAGACAGCAGTAACCAAGAGATTTATTGTGGTTTAGACTATAGATTGCTCAATTGATATCATTATAAACTGATAACAAGCATCGAATGTGATATAACTTTTTAACTCATTAGTACAAACGATAAAGGATAGATAATTTGCTTATAAAAATTTAATGTTGAAGAGAAAAAAAGTTTAATTTCAACTTTGTTATTTTAATCACTGGCAAGCTTTTTTATAATTTTGCTGAAAGTAATTTGAAGATACTTCCCAGTACAAAATAGACACCTTATTCGCTTTTAACGAAGCTGTGTTTACTCGGAAATGCTTCGAAAAACATTTTGTTAAATTGATAAAAGTACTGTTTGCTCATATTTGAAAATTTTATTTTGTTTTATAACCGTCGTTGAACAGCCGACCCAATTTTTTGGGCTTACGACTACTAATGTTCCACTCCGTAGCCATGTAATTTTTAACCCAATTCAGAAGACAAGGGAACTCTTGGATCCTGTATTGGGAGGAATTTTGCCTCCGTGGAGAACTTTTTGATGGAACCAGCCCGCATTTGAGTTATATGGAGAGCGAAACCATGAAAACTTCCCACGGTTAGCCTGACACAAGGGGACTCTAACCCACGATTCGTCTACGTGTTGCTTTCTTAGAGCAACATATCAACTACTTAATTGATAGGAAATCATAAAAAGAGAGGTGTATGTATAATCAGTCATAAGAACCACACTGTAAAAAAATCAGGAACAAATTATGATGTAAAATTCCGGCACTTTTACTGTAAATCATCCTCAAAATCCATTTTTACCGAAAAATCCGTTTCTGCCGATAAATATTGTGCCTCTAAATTTTTAAAGTATTATATATTTAATTAGAATGATTCAGTGATTGCTACGGTAATTATTGCTGTAAAATTTACGGATATCAGATTCTTTTCCATGATATGTTCCGATAAAAATGGTAAAAAGTACCGTAACCCTGAGTGCTTTTAGTTTTTACCACAATTCGATCTGGAATTTTTGTACAGTGTAAACTCACTCACTTGGTAAATGAGAGCACTAGTACCATCTGTAATATTCCATCTTTCAAAATAATCAGTCTTAAAATCAAATAATTAAAAAATGCTTGAGAGCTGTTGGATTGCATGGGATAGAGCAATGTTGCGTTTCATCAAAAGTCCCTTGATTTCATATCAAAATGATTGTTAAAAATTACAAAATATATCTTAAGAAATGCTGAATCGCGATTTTCGAGAGTTTGCAAGTTTACATTCTAATCTTTAGCAAGTTTGAACTCCTGAATCCGTCCTCATGAAAAGGATACTTACCAAGAACGCATTTCTTTTCTCCATATGTTGCTCCAGGCTTTTCTGGCAAGACAATAGGTCCGAGACTGACGGAATCGTCCCCACTCAGAAAACATCTGTTGCTTGTATATGTGAATGCTCTGCAATTAAATGTCGCCTCACTGTCACACTGAACTTGACAATCATCTGAAGACGAGGCAAACTGGAGAGAATCCATCGAAATAATCGACAAACCCGGCCGTATATCATAACGACACGAAGTAGGAGCTGAAGCGAGAAAGCAGAACATGAATAATTAATATGACATTAATTCAATGGAATTAAATTATTTACGTAACATTGTTTTCATCATTAGTTTTTCTAACTTATATTTTTAAACTCTTGCATCCTCAACTTTCTTCTCAAGAATTCCTTACAACTTGTATTTCCTTTTATTCCCTATACATTAATACATTAATTTGTTGTGACGCATTCCAAAACTTTAGGGGAAAACTGTCAGATAGTGTACCGGTATAAAATCGCTTATTTCGCTGAAAAATATTGAGAGAAATAAAGTAGGACAAACAAACTCTGCAACTTCAACAAAAAATTTCTGTTATTTTAGCAAAAAAAAATTATTAAATTCACATGACCAATCAACGCCGGGACTCGAACCTGTGTCAGCTTATTAGGAGACGGAGGTTCTGTCTCTAGTACCAAGATATCTCTAGTGTTTGGCTGTGAAGAATACTTTTAAGATTGACTTTATCTTAAAAGTCTTACATATTGAAATTGTATTAAAGAGTAAAAACATTTAAAACTATATCCCACGCTTATAAAAATGTCTGGCTATTTAACTTATCGAAAAATTATATTAAAGACAGATATCAATCAGGCAGAGTATCAATTGGACAACGTTGTATAAACTCAACTTTATTTATACGATGCTCAAAACCATAAAATAATTTAATTTTTGAAAAGTAAGAGCAAATCTAGAAAATAATTTTAAAATGATATGAAAAAATAGGAAGTAACCTTACGGTTAGCAAAACTGTGTGGCAAAAACTAGAATTTGAATTTACGGTTTTTGTCCGTTTATGATTAGGGAGAAAAACATAGCAAAGCTGTTTTGTGAAAAACAGCTTTAAACTTCAAATATAAGGAGAAAATTTTTAAAGCAAAACTTTTTGGCAGCTCACAGGTAATGATTAAAAACATAAAAAAATATGTATTTATTTTTAAGCAGTTTTTTTCTGTAAAAATTTTTTTTTCTGTAGTACAGATATTTTTTACATTATACACTTTAAATTTTTCAATTCAACTTTAAATCTTGGGACAAATGATAGTCAATTAGAGCCACACATTTAATATATTACTATCAAGACTTTTCAATAAATAACTTAAAATTACTAAATGACTGTTTTCTTTTTTAATATATATATGAATAACTATTGTAAAATTTAACTGTAACAATGCAGAAACTGATGTAATATGAAATATGGCAAAGATAGTTTTTATAAATACATATCTATGAAGCAGTGATTATATATATATATATATATATATATATAATCACTGCTTCATAGATATGTATTTATAAAAACTATCTTTGCCATATTTCATATTACATCAGTTTNTAGATAGATAGATAGATAGATAGATAGATAGATAGATAGATAGATAGATAGATGTGTTTGAACATTGACCTAATATGTTTTTGTTTTTTTTTTTATTTTAAAGCATTGTGTTTAATGATTATATTTAATAAATGGTAATTTGTAACGACCTCAACTATAAAATAATTATTCAAAATGAACCTTGTTACCGAAGCAACATCACAGATGACAAAAAAATAATCTATTAGGAGCAGAAACATTTAAAACCCTGATCTGAACTGCAGTTTATAAAATTCATGCTCATATTTAAATGGTTCACATTACGGTTTCGTAAAATATATATTTCTTGTATATATTTCTTGAAAATAATAAATTTAACAAGTTTCTATGAAAAATGCATTCATTAAATCCTCATAATAATTTTGAATAATTATTATTTTCTGCGCTTAAAATAACGGTAAGACATACATCACTTAGTGTAATAACTTTTTTTCCTATTATGTGTGCAAAAATAGCTCTGAAATTAGGTGTAGTGATACGCTTTATAAAAGTTTTTATTTCAAAAAAACGTTTTTTCACTTTCATTTAGTTGAAATCAGTATCTTTTGTGTTGAAATCTTGCATTTAATAATTCAATTCCGAACAAGGAAACATCCATTAAATGCTGGTGGGAGTGACGAATGTGTTATTTCCTAGCTTTACAATTGTCCCACAATTGGAAATTCCCTCCCAATTAGTTTGTATTGTTAGGACACATGGAATGGAAGGTAGTAAAAGTTTTCCAAACGCCGTCCTATTTTATTTCCGTTGAGACCTTGGTCATTTCCCTCAGAATTGTAGTCCCTGACCTAGATTGAAAAATTTTATAGTCCGGCTAAAATAAATGAAATTGGACAGACGCATTGCACGAAAGATAAATGATAAAAGGAAAATGACATTTAGGAAATTTTGTAACGAGAAATGAAAAATTATTTCATATGTTCTGTTTCTTTTTTTTTTATGTCTGTTTTGGAAAGAGAGCGAAATGTTTGGAGAGAGAAGAAAGGAAAATATTTTTAAGAGATGACAATACATAAAAAAAAATGAAACAAGAAAAAAAAACTTTATTTTCGGAAAGCTAAATTGAAATGGTCATATCATGATTTCGTTATGATAAAGTTTATATTTAGTTACGGTTTAAATTTAATAAAAGCATTCCCTGGCCCAAATTGAATTCTTATTTTGCCTTACTATCTAAGGAAAAATATTTAGGTTCATTACATATAAGAAACCTTTATAATACATTATAGTTTGGGAAAGTATTTCAATTTAGAAGAATCAATTTAGTTTTTAATATCTTCAAATGAGCCAAAATATAAAAATATAAATGCTTTACGAAATAAATACATTGGAGTTTATAAATTAAAAAACGTTTATTTATCATTATAAGAATTATTTTAGTTCAATTTATAAATAAATAAAAAACTTTTCATACATTATAATTTATAAAAGCATTTCATTTTAAAAATGTCAAATTTATTTCCAATATTTTCAAATAAATATGAACTACAAAGTTATAAATGACTTTAAAAAAAATTGTTCAGTAAATTTTTTTAGAATATAATTTAGTTCACTAAATTAATATTTCCATTTGAATGAATCTATTGGAGATGATTTGGTTTTTTATTTAGCTTGACTATATGTACGAAAATATCTTCCAGATTTATTTACATATAAAAAACATTGTTAATACATTATAGTTTGCAAAAGAGTGTTTCAATTTTAAAATATCATTTTTATTTTCAATATTTTGAAGAAAACAAAAATTGAGAAAGTATGAATGCCTTAAAAATTAAATTTTATACAGTTTATGGAAAAAGAGTTTTACTTTTTTTTAATTATAAAAAGAATTGATTTAGTATATAGTTTAGTTTTCTATATTTCTTTAAAAAAAGAAATGAACTATATTAGTTTCATTCCACCAATTATTTTAGTAGCTTATTTCTAGCAATTATTCTAATTGTTTATAACTGAATTACAGATAAATATAAATTTCGTTCATTCTTAAACTTTGCAGCATTATCATGGTTTTTGATTAAGACTAATAATATTCCTTTCTAGTAAGAAAAGCTGTGAAATTATAGCATGAGAAATCGAAAATATATTTATAAAATGTACTATTATTAGGCGAATTAATTTAGTATATTTCTTTTAAAAAGAATGAAATAATATTAATTTATTTTGACTAACAACTCTAATAGTTTATTTCGAGTAACAATTTTAATTACTTATAACTGAATTCCAACTAAACATAAACTTCACTCAATCCTATAACTTTCCTGAATCGTCACTTTTTTAATTAAATTAATATTATACCATTCTGTGTAAGATAGCTTTGAAATGATTGCGTGTTTCATCCAATATCTATTAATAGATAATATTTCATATTTAATTCGACAAAATTGCCTACTATTACTATTATATTGTGTTACAAAATTAAATATTTAATATGATATTATAAAGTCTTAAATCAAACTGGCATGAGATTCCCATGATGAAGAATATTGTGAAAGGTTAAAAAAGTAAACGTGAAATCTAGTCTATAGATAAATATATAAATATCTGTATAATCAGTGAAATTTATTCTTTAAATGTGAAGTCTGATCTATAAATAGCTTTATAAATATCTATATAATCTATAAATATTTCAAATCAAACGCTTCAATAATCACTTAAAAGTCTTCAACTGTAATGATATTGATTTAATTAGTTTCGAGTTTGCGATGACATAGCGTTGGTTGCCTAAGATATTAATATCTCTTATGTCACAAAAGTCTGTTAATATTGACAAGAAAAATATAAAAATCTCTTCAGGGTTAAATGCCTTTCTTTAATTTATAAATATCATGATATAATTTAATTTCTAAGTACATTCAAACTTTAAACAAAATCATGTTTTAATATCCTTTTTCCTGCATTTTTTACAGCCTGTCAACCAATTTAATATGCTAATATTTTTTTTAAATCACATATAAAACTTATTTTTTCAAACAAATGAGTTAAATATGTTTTCGTACGGCACAAAATTCACAATTTAAGCAGTCATTCAAATATAAGTTACCTAATAATGCCTAAATTACTAATATATAAATGAATACCATCAAGCAAAGTGCCGAAACTTTGAAAAAAAAAGTGCTGGAACTTTAAAACAAAGGCTATTCAGAAGAAAGAACTATAAATATTTTTTTTCAATAAAGTATTCGTTTCAAATGAAAGAAAAATTCAATTCAATTGTGTTTCTACAACTTTATTTCATTAACTCCTTAACTCCGATGTATGTTTCTTCAGGGATTTGGATGCATGCTTTCTAAATAAGTAGTAACCGCTAATTATTTAGATATTGATACATTATTAATCCATGTTATGATAATCGTGAAAAATCGTTGATACCATAATTCATCACAGCTTGATTTGTAGAATGCGATCTGTCATAAATGTTTTTTTTATATGTAATACATCATTACAACTTAATTTTCGGTGTGTAAATTACCATAAATAATGGCTCATAATTTCGTGTGTTTAATTCATCTCAGCTGGTTTATATTGTAAGACGTAATTTATCATAACTGCTTTATATTTTAGCATGTAAATCATAATAGTTGGTTATTTTTGGAATGTAATATATCATAGCTG